GACTTACCCGGGAGGCGGTTGCCCTCGCTCCTCAACTCCAAGTCGAGACAACTGGCTGCAACTGCTGACCTAATGCGACATATGTCCAACTAGGGCCAGGAACATTGACCAGGTAGTGTGCGGCCAGGACTCTGTTCGACCTCCAAAAACCCGGTGCCTGAACGTTATGGGCACAAGGACAGACCGCAGGCTGGTTGGACCGAATAACCCTGAGGACGACCTGGGAGACCCAAACCCTGGAACAGGGAAGAGGGGAAACCAGGTCAACCCAACGTGCATTCCCAGCCTCCCGTGGCCGTGGCACGCATGTAATGCCGAACAGCCGCAACCAGACACAATACATGATGTACCACCAGCTGAACCAACCAAGCATCAACAACACAAGGACCACTGGGAAGCAGCAGTTTCATTCTTTGTCAGAAAAAAAGGAAACGGCTGCAAATGAACAAACCTACTACCAGGAACAAAAAAAACAGAAACCTCTGCGCCGAAGAAGAGCATGAAGCTCCGCAACCTGTCCCCCAGAGGCACATGCCAACAAGAAAAGAGCCTTTACAAAATAATCCTGAACCGAAGGGGCCACAACAAACCAAGGAGAAGAGAGAAAAAGAGAGCACCCAGTCCAACGACCAGGATGGTTCAGGTAGCGCATGAGCTGGCCAGAGGTGAAACAAAGCACGAAAAAGCTTGCAGACTGAAGTAGAAGTAATATCTACCCCAAACGCAAGCTGAAACAACTCCTCCAACGGCGCACGATATGAGGCGACAGTATTCGGCATACGATGACAGTCCTGAAACGACCATGAAAGGAAGGACAAGACAACCTGATCCGAAACTAAAGAGAACCTACAGAGGGACAAGAAATAACAGAAGGACCACCAGGAAACTTCACACTTCCACTGAGACGAAGCACTAAGACAATTCTGGAGTCAGAGTCACTCGATTGCCAAGATCTTACATCAGCCAAGAACTGAAGGGTGGATAGCTGGTGCAGGGGTCAGGGCTTCCCCTTCCCCCCTTCCCTAGGAGACGGGAGCTGTGCAGACGGTGACTTTTTTTTGTGATGTCATGCTCGTTTTTTGTCTGGAGAATTCTGTCCCACAGTTCGACTTTCGGTAGCACTTTTTTAACCAGATAGGGTTTGTTTTGAGACGTTTACCTTTCTGAGTGCATGACCCGATCAATGGCAGACATAGAATGCTTCCAACTACATGGGGGTTTCTATAGGCCATTGCTCTTCGTGCCTCTCTGAGGGGGCCAGGTTCTGGCTTGTGATCCACGGTAGGCCTAGAACTCCATTCGCTTTGACTGATGCCAGGGTCTAATACATTCGTATCAGCCTGGATAGCTCTGGGGAGCCAAAGGGGCTAACCCCAGAAAATATTTAGTTATCGACCCAAAATATCCTTATTTTAAGATTAATACTCAAAAATTGATGCAGAATAGATGTGTCCAGACAAAATTTCACTTAATAATTCTGCATCAAAATTAGACTGAGCATGTAATTTGTGCAACACTCTACACTCATGTACACTCAAAGATATGTATTTCACAAAAGTAAAGCTAACTTTTCCAAGGCAACAATACTGATTACTCTCTACAGAAATGTTTTGAGACAACCTTATATGAATACTCATTAAATAACCTGCACACATGAAATTAAATACATGTTTTGATATTTCAGCCCACCATGTCATGATTTTAAAGAGAGTCCAGGATGGATTTAATTGTCATCATTTTCATTTAATTTCATAGGTGTGGGTTGTGTTATTTGTTTCAGTCACATTTTGACTTGTTCTCTACACTCATTAAATCTCTCCATAATACCTTTTTTTTCTGTAACTGATGCATAATTTTAGTTGTTTAACAATGATAATGGAACTGGTATCTGTAAGGAAGATAAATTTGAGGATTATGCATTTGTTTAAAGTCCTGAGACTTAATTATTTAAACAAACACTGAACTATGATCTTTTGTTTTAATATATTCTTCTAAAAGCTATTCGTTTTTATTTCAGTATGACAGTATGTACTTCATAATGAAAGAATATATAAAGCATCAAATACAAAAGACTAAGATGTCCACTCAAAGAAATAAGTTTCTTAAGAAAACGAAGTACATAAAGTCAGTCTAAAACTTCAAACATTAAATAATGAAATCTTTAAAACAAAAGTTTTGCATAAACAAACAAATATCCTGAAAACAATTGCTGCTTAATATGAATGTATTTTTGTAATTGCATCAATTTGCCACAAACTAAATCTAATTTCTACCAAGTAGTAGCCCTCCTAACTTACCACAAATAGCTCTAATTTGAGCAATTAGCTATTATGCCTCTATATGGGTAGTTGTGAAATACAGAATTTGTTAATTTGTTTTGTAACAGGATATAAATCTTTGGTGGAAATAAACAATTACCTTACTAGAGCTCTATTTCTGCTGGCTCAGTCTAGAATGAACTTAAAATTACATGTATTGTGTTTTAATCAACATTTTTATTATTACGATTCAGTACTGGGCAGGCCTGTATTAGCAATTTATAATTTAAACAATCATCATTTTCCTAATTAATATAATGCTTAAAATCACAGGAATTGCATTCTGGAACTACTTGGAACAATTACTTCTACATAAAGTCTGTATCAACCCTAAAGAAGGTATCACAGTGAATCATTTGCATTAGATAAATATACAGTACTGTACTCAATAAAATGCAAAAACCTAAGCAATTGGTGGGCAGATAGAGCATTCAGTCCCTTAATCTTGAAAAATGCTTATTTACATATTCCTTCATATGCAGACGATGAGTCACAATAATGTGCCTGAAGATATGAGAACCAAACCAATATCGGAAGACAAGGAGACGACGACGTTTCGGTCAGTCCTGGACCATTATCAAGTCTATTGTGATAATGGTCACAAGTGACGCTGTGGTTTGGTCATCATATTCCTTCATACCTCGCTGTAAATACATGTGCATCTACAATTCAAATTATAGTAGCAGCATCCATAAGACATTATTCTGTATGATGATCAAACCTCACATCAGAAGATGAAGAAATGATAATGTTTGTTCATCAGAGACGAATCTCCATGTACATATGGCTTATTAATTGTCCAGGATGGACTGAAACGTCATCATTTCTTCATCTTCTGGTGTGTGGTTTAGTCATCATATCATCAGCCACGTTATTGTAACTCATCGTCTGCACGTTATTCTATATAATAATTTCTACTAAAAAAAAATGCATAAATATCTTGATAATACATTTAAACAATCTTCATGTTTGTACACACTTAGACAAAGCAGTAAGAAAGTTTACTCTCACACTCTGTACGTCTGTCTGTCTCTTTCTCTCCTGTGTGTACTCACCTAATTGTGCTTGCGGAGGTTGAGCTCTGGCTCTTTGGTCCCGGCTCTCAAATGTCAATCAACTGATGTACAGATTCCTGAGCCTACTGGGCTCTATCATATCTACATTTGAAACTGTGTATGGAGTCAGCCTCCACCACACCACTGCCTAATACATTCCATCTGTTAACTACTCTGACACTGAAAAAGTTCTTTCTAACGTCCCTGTGGCTCATTTGGGTACTCAGTTTCCATCTGTGTCCCCTTGTTCGCGTACCACCTGTGTTTAACAGTTTATCTTTATCTACCCTATCAAGTGAGAGAGTGTGTGTGAGTGAGTGTGAGTATGAGTGTGTGTGTGTGTGTGGGGGGGGGGGCAAACTCATTATTCTTTAGCAAGTATTAATTGCAACTCTACGAACAGTATAAAATATACATTTAAAAAAATGCAGGTTTGCATCAAGGAATGTTTGATTTTCATAAACTGTGTTAATAAAAATTAAACTTTACAAGCAATGTATTTATGCTATACAGTAATTAAGAAGGAGAATAATAAAAGGAGACACTTGAAATTTAGTTAACAAATAGAATGTAGGAGTTAATTAGTTTATAGAGGATTAAAAACAAAAGCAATGCAGCCATATATAAAAATGGGCAGTAAAATATGTTAAACTGATAATATATATTACAAAAATGTTTGTCTGTTGATGTATGTGTGTGTATAATAACCTAAGTGAAAATACTTTAGTGCAGTTACAGGTTGAGAGCTGCACTTGGGGTATCCCGTCTTTCCTAGATGTAATCTTTGTCATATGATGTTTTGAAACTGCTGACAGTTATTACATCCAATAACTTCTTCTTTAAATTGTTCTAACCATCCACAGCTCTGTTCACAAAATATTAACTTTCATGTTTTTCAGCTTCTTTGTTTCCTTAGTTTCCTATGGTCTCTTGTTCGTAAAGTTGTAGATTTAAAAAATTCCTGTGTGTCTCTTTGGAATTACCTAGGTGTAGTTACAGGATGAGAGCTACACCTGTGGTGATCAGTCTTCCCTATAATCTTCATCATATTGTACTTTGACACTGATGATTGTTTTGGCAGAAGCTGTGGGTAAACACTTCTTTTAATTTGATTTCTTATGCAATGACAGGTCATGCAAGTCTAGGAAGTGAAAATAACATTTTCTCTGTAAATTTGATAAAGTATCTACAGATGAAACATTACCTTCAAACTAAGTCTTCTCTCAATTTAGTGCTTCTCTATATCAGTCAAAGTTATTATGCAGTGGAGCATTAGGCACAAATAGCACAAATTTGATGATGATTAATATTGAATTGTGGATGGCCAACAGTTTGCATGAAGATTGTTAAGAACTAAAAAGTTATAAATATAACTCTGGATAACTGGAAACTCAAATGAAAGTTTACTGGCAACTAAAAACTCTTAATTCTTAGTAACCACCAACTTCCTTGAACTATTAAGGGCAACCCAAAATTCACTATGCATCCCAGCTATGCTTAACCCCTGCACTGCTCACCTATTTTCGGCAAAAACGTCTTGGTGCAATTGTCAAGGACATATTTTTGTTATTTTTACAAATGTTCAAGTAAATTTAATGTCAAAATGTTTCCAAAGTCAACTATTTCCATTTCAAAACACAAATAGTAATGAAAACATTAAAAAACATTAAAATATAGCCAAATTAAAAAACAAAAAGCACAACTCTCTGAGCGCCTAAAGGCGCTTTGCGCAGTGCAGTGGTTAAAGGATAGACATAGCTGGGATTCATATTATATTCATGAAATATGAATAAAAATAAAGCTCTGATTCAATATATAAAGCTCCTTTCTGAGTAGAAATATTTATTCCTGTAAGATAAAATTTCACTGTGCTATAGGTAGGATTCACGAACAGTCAGCCAGGATGGAATTTGGGCAGAGATGCTGCATGTATCTATTCACATGTCTCTGCATAGTCATACAAAGTACTAGGGAAAAGCTCAGTGTAGCCCAAACTGTCCAACTGAGGTACATCCATAAAGACTCTAAAGCCTTACTAAAGTCTTGCTTACTATCAAATGCCTGCTAAGTGAAGCTTCAAACAAGCTGATCACTGACAGGTGGATGTGTTGTCAGTATGGTTCAAAGTATTTATGAAGGGAGTACCATGATGAGCAGGATTCGCCTCTTTTCCGGTGCTTCACTTCAGGGATGTTTCACAAAATCCCTGCTTTGCTGGTGCCTGAATGTCATCCTGCATAGCAGATTCTTACTTTAGAGAGCAACTGAATGCAATAGCAAAGAAAAGTGCAATATGCTATGCATTTTAGATATACAGTAAAGCACAGGAGAGATATATGTATGTACATGTATTTATTATTCACTATATACTATAATAATGAACAACCTTACAAATTAACTTCTATCAGCTATCCCATTTTATAGCCCCCAAAGCATGAAAAATCCTATAAATTACTGTATTTTGATACAATGTTAATAAAATATAATAATTATATTAGCTAACGGATCACTGGTAACAATATAATCTTTTTATATAAAACTCACATGTCATATACAACACTGGTTCAGATTTACCAGCTAACAATTATTTTAATGAATTTACAATATGAATCACATAAAACAGGTGCCACTTGAAAACAAATGGACATTGGGCATATTTAACAACCATACAAAAATGAGTACAGTACCAGAGAAATTTGTTAAGATATTCAAATTAATGATAACATGACATTTACAATATACTGTACCCTTACAATTTCTATCCTGATAATTATCTCACATATTCACACATAAAAGCATCCATTTGGATTTTGCTAATTTTACAATAAATCACAACAAAAAATCTTGAAATATTTGGAATGAGACATGAGTCAAATGATGCTTTACAGTACTTACATTCTGTTTAAATATATGAATCTCCATAAAACTAGAAAAAATCTTCAAATATGGTCAGCTATTATACAAATTTCATCATAATCCAATAGCTCATGCATACTCAAAATATAAAAATCCTGTGAAGCACAGTAAGAATGAATTCACTACTAAGCATGTACAGTACTTGGAAAATTCCGTTAACACAAAAGTTAGTCCTCATATAAACTTAAAGCACTTTTGTTTATCATGTGGAAGTCTTGTCTTGAAAAGAACAGAGTCCACACGATACTGTGTATTCAGAAGAGGGTTATAACCATAAACCTGAAATGAAAAACAGAATTATTAGGAAAGCTAAATTATGCTTGCTAAGGTTAAACTACAACTAGATATGCTTTAATTGTAACAAGATAATTGAGGAATGTATTCACAGTTTTCTATGCTGGCATATTTCACAATAAAGTACTATGTGAATAAGGGAATATTTCTTAAAATGAAAATATTCTTGCTCTCCTCTCTTCCTGATTAAAGAACCCCCCCCACACCTTTTTTTTTTCTAAAGCAATTCAGAGCACACCATTTAACACTTTCGTTCAGTGGCAACGCAGTCTGTCTCCATAATTAAATTCACGAATGTCCGGCGAGGACGCATGTTGCGTTTGAAATTAAAATACCTGTACTGTACTGTAGACATTCGCTAATCTGGAATCCAACTATCTGGAAAACAGCCTAATCCTAAAACTAAAAAAAAATTCCATCCAGCCAAAATGTCCATGGACGCCAGACTAGCCAGTGTTTGGCTGGATAAAAAACCTGAGCCGGTTAACTTGCTGCCGATATTGCCCAATCCGTACAGTCAGCCGGACATGCGGCGAATTGTCCGGAGCAGAAAGCCAGACACCGGGCCGTACCGTATTAATCCCATACAGCTGTGGCTCTACGTGCATGGTGTAGGAGGGGGTGGGAGTGGGTGGGTGGTGTTGGGAGAGAGTCCATAAGCCACTGGTTCTCTCATTTATCATAGAATTCTGGTCCTTCGAGCATATTAGAATAATATATTATTTTATTAGCATATAATCTAGAGCCAGATTTCCTCACACTATGCAACTGGCGTACCCGGTACCTTAACCACTCGACCAACCGTGACCGTACAAAAGACATTGGTAGCCGAGGCTATATCCCCAACGTCCCGACAGCACTTGGGTTTTTCAAAAATATAATGTGCAGAAAAACAAAATGTGTGTGATGTGGAAGGCTAATGCTACTACATGGGCGAGTAGGCAATTTTTTACGGAGTGGGTGAATGAGGTGGTGTGCCCTGCCATCAAAAAATATCTGCAGGAGAACAGTTTGCCACTCAAGGCCCTGCTATTCCTCGACAATACTCCTGCCCATCCTCCAGGCTTGGAGGATTCATTGATGGTGGAATTTAGTTTTGTTACAGTAAAGTTCTTTCCTTCCAACACCACTCCTCTACGTCAGCCTATGGACCAGAAAATCATTGCCAATTTTAAGAAATTTTATGAAAGAGCACTTTTTTGGAGATGTGTCGAAGTGACGGATGCCACAAACCTCACCCTCAAAGAGCTCTGGAAAAACCATTTTAACATTTGTAGTGCTTTAAAACTCGTAGACAAAGCCTAGCAAGAAGTGACTGTAAGAACCATGAACTCTGGCTGGAGAAAATTGTGGCCTGAATGTGTTGCAGAACGAGACTTTGTGGATTATCTTGAGATGATTTCGGGGCTTTTAGTGTCCCCATGGCCCGGTCCTCGACCAGGCTTCCACCCCCAGAAAGCAGCCTGTGACAGCTGACTAACACCCAGGTATCTATTTTACTGCTAGGTAACAGGGGCATAGGGTGAAAGAAACTCTGGCTATTGTTTCTCACCGGTGCCTGGGATCGAACCCGGGACCACAGGATCACAAGTCCAGCGTGCTGTCTGCTCGGCCGACCGGCCCCTGGTTACGAGTATTTCGGGTTACGAGCAGGATTAGCTCGGAAAATTTGTATCGGGATACGAGAGTTGCCTCAGGATACGAGTTTGTTGATACGCGTACGGGCCAACCTAGGGGCATGGTGCCACGGCGATCGCCGCTCAGTTTGCCAGTGCCTCGCTCCTAGTGACTATCCCGCCTGAATTTTTCACAAGGATTTACCGATTATTTTCGGAGTTTTTGCTATTTGAGCATAAAATTTGTTATAATATACATCGCAATGGGTCCCAAGAAAGCCAGTGGTAAGGTCCAAGGCAAGAAATTGCATGTGAGGATGACAATAGAGGAAAAGCAAGAGATCATTCGGAAGCATGAAAATTGTGCACGTGTACACATACATACATTGTGTGGGGTGTGGGGGTGTTGCGGGTGTGCCAATAGGTGTACGCTAACAGGTAACGCCTGGCTGACTTTTGGCATTGTTGCGGGTGGGGTGCGCCAGTGTTCTGGACTTTATATGCATATACCCCTGTAGGGAATGCTATTTGTGAACAATTAGATACAAAAATGAATGACGTAGCACGAGAATTGAGGTGAGAAAACTGAAAAGAGTATACACATTTCAATGCTGTTATTCACTCATGGCTAGCACTTGCCTGATTTTTGTGTTTGGTGTGGGTGGTACACTGCGTTTTTTGACCCGATATGCATATACCAGTTTAGGGAATTCTAATGCGAACAATTTGATGCCAAAATGAATGACGTAACATGCAAATTGAGGTGAGAAAACTGAAAAGAGTATACAGATTTGTGTGCGTGTGTTGTGGGTGTGGAAATGGGTGTTTGATCACGGCTAATGCTTGGCTGACTTTCACCTTTGCTGCGGGGAGTAGGGGGGGAGGGGCGCTCATATGTTGGATTTTATATGCATATACACCTGTAGGGAATTCTATTGCAAACACATTGATACCAAAATGAACGATGTAGCACAAGAATTGAGCTGAGAAAAGTAAAAAAGAGTATACACATTTTATTGCTGTTGCGCGCTCATGGCTAATGCTCGCCTGATTTTTGTGCTTGGTGCTAGTGGCATGCTGGGCTTTTGAACCCGATATGCATATACCCCTATAGGGAATTCTATTGCGAACAATTTGATACCAAAATGAACGACGTACAACGAAAATTGAGGTGAGAAAACTGAAAGAGAGAGTACACATTTCAGTGTGGCCGTGTGCTCACCCAAAATGCTCGGCGCATACTGGGGTAAACTAGGGCGTGCACGCCCAGAACGGGAAAGTGTTAAAGCTAGCCATAATCTAAAACCAGATATATTTTGATTGCTTGTAAATACAAATTATTACTAACCTGAGTAAAAAAATTTATGCAGCTATGACGTTCTGTGAAATGTGAGTCATCCTCTGATAGAGAAACAGGGCAACCAGGACAGCGGAATGTCCAGCGTGAAGTTACCTGTAAATTTAAATTAACTGATCAATACTGTACATTAATAAGCATAACTCTCCCTGAAACAATTCATGTTTATCACTCAGAATGTTTGGTAATATGCTTAGTGTTTGTGATGTGTGTCTACAAATATATGAACATGTTGTATTGAATGTGGTGAGAATAGCTTGAACTATCTCATCCCTTTGTGTATATTTAAACCTTAATAAACTTATATAAATTTAAATTTCAATTCATATCAGAAGTGAAGTTGATTTTACACTTGCAATAATTTGCAAGAAAAATGCAGTACTTGTATAGTAGTTTACTATTCAACCAATAACCTATTTTTATATATACAGTATGAATTTAACATAAATGCTATGTATTGTAATACTGAACCAAATTTCCAGCATACTGTAAGATTTATTTAATGCTTTCATAGTTTTTTCTAAGTGACTTTACCTTAACTGGTGGTTTTCGTGTTATGTGAGAAACAAGGAAGTTCATGGCAATATCTTCACAATTCACATATTCATCTACTTTGTCTCGTATGGCTTGTGGCATCACGTGAGAATACATGCTGGCATAATATTTGTGGAAAAAGGCAGCACCTATAATAGAGAATAAGATTATATTGTATACCTGTATATGCACAATGAAATCACAAGAACATGATGTATCTATGAGAAAACACTGAGGCCATATGATGGGATCGAATCCTTAGGGAGTTCAGGGATGTGGGATTGAACCACTGGGAAGTCTAGGAATCCAGGATCAAACCCCTAGGGAGTGTTGGGATGTGAGATTGAACCCCTGGGAAGTCTAGGGATGTGGGATCAAACGCCTGCAAAGTTCAGAGATGTTGGATCAAACTCCTTGGGGTCCAGGGATGAGATCAAACCCATAGGAAATCCAGGGATGAGACATTAAACCCCTGGGAAACTCCAGGGATGCGGGATCAATCCTATCATATAGCTTCAATATGTTCTCATACTGTACCTGTATGCACTGTGTGTGTGTGTGTGTATGTATGTATGTATGTATGTATGTATGTATGTATGTATGTATGTATGTATGTATGTATATATATATATATATATATATATATATATATATATATATATATATATATATATATATATATATATATATATATAATGTCGTACCTAGTAGCCAGAACGTACTTCTCAGCCTACTATGCAAAGCCCGATTTGCCTAATAAGCCAAGTTTTCATGAATTAATTGTTTTTCGACTACCTAACCTACCTAACCTAACCTAACCTAACTTTTTCGGCTACCTAACCAAACCTAACCTATAAAGATAGGTTAGGTTAGGTTAGGTAGGGTTGGTTAGGTTCGGTCATATATCTACGTTAATTTTAACTCCAATAAAAAAAAATTGACCTCATACATAATGAAATGGGTAGCTTTATCATTTCATAAGAAAAAAATTAGAAAAAATATATTAATTCAGGAAAACTTGGCTTATTAGGCAAATCGGGCCTTGAATAGTAGGCCAAAAAGTGAGTTCTGGCTACTAGGTACGACATATATATATATATATATATATATATATACACACACACACACACACACACACACACACACACAAAAGGTGACACCCCTAGGGTCAACACTTGCAGCAGAGGAGCTCCAGCATATTTCAACAATCCTAAGTATTGTAGTACAGGTTGATGGTAGTGAGTGGTGTCCCAGAGAACATAAAGGTATAGTGCTCTTGAAAAATAGGTGAGATAACAGGAAAGTGCTAAGGGAAGTGAAAAATCGGATGAGAAAAAGTTGCCCTAGTGTTTACAGTGCAGAGAAGAACATTCAAGATGGCCACTGGCAAGGGGAAAAACAAAACAGAGCTTGATTTTGAGGGATTCAATGAAGAAAGCATTGATATTAGTAGTCTACATAACAAGTTGGTAAATTTAGATACTATAGTGAACTCTCATGTAGAAATAATTAGTAAATTGAAAGAAAGTAATGACCATTTGAATAGCAAAGTTTTATGTCTTGAGGGTTTAGTGAAAGACTTGCGCAAGGATAAGAATCAATTGGAAACAAATTGCAAAGCCATGGAAGAAGAAAATAAACTCTTAAAAATAGCTTTGGAAGAAGTTAAAGTAAATTTAAACATAAATGACTACAATAGGTTAGGCAAGGAAATTCAACAGGAGAAACAGCTTTTGTCAGCACAGATGGAGGAAGTTACACAGGGAATAGAACAGTGCAAGAAAGATATGCAACTCACTTATGCACAAGTGGCCAAGGAGAAGGAAAAAATAGAAGAAGCAGTAAAGGAAGTCAAACACTGCAGCAACCAAGATAAAACAAACATTAGGCTAGAAGTGAGGAAAGAATTGGCATCTAACCCGAAGTTGGTGCAAAACACAGTTGATCGGAGTAAGTCCCTAATCATTTTTGGCTGCAAAGAAAAGGCGATAACATCTAGGTCAGAAAGAGCTGTAGAAGAAGCTAAAGTAGTAGATAAAATTGTTGGCCTCGTGGAAGGTCTTACAGAGAGAATGTGTGCGACTACAGGAGAATAGGCAGGTACGTAAAAGGGAAAGATCGACCTTTGAGGATCACCCTAAACGGTGCCAAACAGATGGAAGAAGTACTAAGGAATGCTAGAAAATTGCAAAGGGATGAGGATGGGAAAGGGTGGTCGTTAAGACGAGATCTTTCAAAAGAAGACAGAGAGAAGCTGAAACTGAACCTCGCCGAGGCAAAACATTTAAATGAGAGCAGGAATGAAGAAGAAATAAATTCTTTTTTCTACAAAGTGATAGGGGTAGGCAAACCAGTAAAGTGGTACATAAAGGCAAACCAACAAAATCAATAGAGAGAGGGGGAGTGAAGAATAAGGAGAGGGGGAACAAGTTCCTGAAGATTGCATACACCAACATAGATGGAGTGAGATCGAAGATACTGGAGTTAAGTGATGTAATACAGCTGCAGACACCAGACATTGTTGCACTCACGGAGACAAAACTTGAAGATGTAATTTTAAATGAGGTCATATTCCCAAGGGGCTACTCAATTTGGAGACGGGACAGAAAAATTAGGAAAGGCGGTGGCGTTGCTGTGCTGGTAAAAGAACACCTAAAGGTGAAGGAAATAATGATTGCCAATCCACAAGAAGTTGACATAATAACTAGAGATTAGATCACTAGAGATCTGCTATGAGGATGATAAACTAATGATGATAAATGCATATAGTCCACCGCCAAGCAGCACATGGTCAAAGGAGGAGCTAGATAGTAAACGTGAAGGTCTTATAACAATAATGAGAGAGATTATAGCGGGAGCGGATAACGATAGATCACGACTGTTGATAGTCGGTGACTTCAACTTGAAATCCATAGACTGGGAAGCATATGAAGCTAAAACAGAAGATTTTTGGACCTGTAAATTTGTAGACCTCATCCTGGAAACATTCTTGTATCAACATGTTAAACAAGCTACGAGGATGAGGGAAGGGGACGTTCCCTCCATGCTAGATTTGATATTTACCAGGAAGGAGGAAGAGATATTTGACATTCAGTACCTTCTTCCCTTGGGTAAAAGTGACCATGTCTTTTTGGGAATAAAGTATGCAATGCGTTATAAGCTGGAAGAAAATAAGGAGGTTGAAGCAGTTGAAAAACCAGACTTCAAGAGAGGACATTATGGTGACCTTAGAAATTTTTTTAGTGAGTATAATTGGACAGACTTGATGCTAGGCAAGGAAGTGAATGAGATGTATGGCAAGTTTTGTGAAATATATGATAAAGGCACAAAAAAATTTATACCAAAACAGAGATGCAGAACTAGGAAACAGGATTGGTTCAATAGAAATTGCGAGAGGGCTAGAGACCGAAAGACACAAAAATGGAATCAATACAGGAAGAGGCCGAACCCCCAAACATACCAGCGATACAAAGATGCGAGAAACAACTACACGGCAGTGAGGAGAGAGGCAGAAAGAAATTTTGAAAAAGGGATTGCGGACAAATGTAAAACAGAACCAGGTCTATTCTATAAATTCATAAACAACAAATTGCAGGTAAAGGATAATATTCAGAGGTTGAAAATGGGAAATAGATTCACGGAAGATGAAAAGGAAATGTGTGAAACACTAAACGAAAAGTTCTAAAGTGTGTTTGTACAAAATGAAATCTTTAGGGAACCAGATACAATAAGAATTCCAGAGAACAACATAGAACACATAGAGGTGTCTAGAGACGAAGTGGAAAAAATGCTCAAGGAGCTCGGTAAGAACAAAGCAGCTGGCCCAGATGGCGTTTCACCATGGGTTCTGAGAGAATGTGCATCTGAGCTCAGCATTCCACTTCACCTGATCTTTCAGGCATCCCTGTGTACAGGAATCGTAGCAGACGGGTGGAAACAGGCTAACATAGTTCCAATCTACAAAAGTGGCAGCAGGGAAGACCCCCTCAATTATAGACCTGTATCATTGACAAGTGTAATAGTGAAAGTATTGGAAAAACTAATCAAAACTAAATGGGTAGAACACCTAGAGAGAAATGATATAATATCAGACAGACAGTATGGTTTTCGATCTGGAAGATCCTGTGTATCGAATTTACTCAGTTTCTATGATCGAGCCACAGAGATATTACAGGAAAGAGATGGTTGGGTTGACTGCATCTATCTGGACCTAAAAAAGGCTTTCGACAGAGTTCCACATAAGAGGTTGTTCTGGAAACTGGAAAATATTGGAGGGGTGACAGGTAAGCTTCTATCATGGATGAAAAATTTTCTGACTGATAGAAAAATGAGGGCAGTAATCAGAGGCAATGTATCGGAATGGAGAAATGTCACAAGTGGAGTACCACAGGGTTCAGTTCTTGCACCAGTGATGTTTATTGTGTACATAAATGATCTACCAGTTGGTATACAGAATTATATGAACATGTTTGCTGATGATGCTAAGATAATAGGAAGGATAAGGAATTTAGATGACTGTCATGCCCTTCAAGAAGACCTGGACAAAATAAGTATATGGAGCACCACTTGGCAAATGGAATTTAATGTTAATAAATGTCATGTTATGGAATGTGGAATAGGAGAACATAGACCCCACACAACCTATATATTATGTGAGAAATCTTTAAAGAATTCTGATAAAGAAAGAGATCTAGGAGTGGTTCTAGAAAGAAAACTATCACCTGAGGACCACATAAAGAATATTGTGCAAGGAGCCTATGCTATGCTTTCTAACTTCAGAATTGCATTTAAATACATGGATGGCGATATTCTAAAGAAATTGTTCATGACTTTTGTTAGGCCAAAGCTAGAATATGCAGCTGTTGTGTGGTGCCCATATCTTAAGAAGCACATCAACAAACTGGAAAAGGTGCAAAGACATGCTACTAAGTGGCTCCCAGAACTGAAGGGCAAGAGCTACGAGGAGAGGTTAGAAGCATTAAATATGCCAAAACTAGAAGACAGAAGAAAAAGAGGTGATATGATCACTACATACAAAATAGTAACAGAAATTGATAAAATCGACAGGGAAGACTTCCTGAGACCTGGAATTTCAAGAACAAGAGGTCATAGATTTAAACTAGCTAAACACAGATGCCAAAGAAATATAAGAAAATTCACCTTCGCAAATAGAGTGGTAGACGGTTGGAACAAGTTAAGTGAGAAGGTGGTGGAGGCCAAGACCGTCAGTAGTTTCAAAGCGTTATATGACAAAGAGTGCTGGGAAGACGGGACACCACGAGCGTAGCTCTCATCCTGTAACTACACTTAGGTAATTACACTTAGGTAATTACACACACACACACACACACACACACACACACACACACACACTATATATAAACTAATGATAAACTAATGATGATAAATGCATATAGTCCACCGCCAAGCAGCACATGGTCAAAGGAGGAGCTAGATAGTAAACGTGAAGGTCTTATAACAATAATGAGAGAGATTATAGCGAGAGCGGATAACGATAGATCACGACTGTTGATAGTCGGTGACTTCAACTTAAAATCCATAGACTGGGAAGCATATGAAGCTAAAACAGAAGATTTTTGGACCTGTAAATTTGTAGACCTCATCCTGAAAACATTCTTGTATCAACATGTTAAACAAGCTACGAGGATGAGGGAAGGGGACGTTCCCTCCATGCTAGATTTGATATTTACCAGGAAGGAGGAAGAGATATTTGACATTCAGTACCTTCCTCCCTTGGGTAAAAGTGACCATGTCTTTTTGGGAATAAAGTATGCAATGCGTTATAAGCTGGAAGAAAATAAGGAGGTTGAAGCAGTTGAAAAACCAGACTTCAGGAGAGGACATTATGGTGACCTTAGAAATTTTTTTAGTGAGTATAATTGGACAGACTTGATGCTAGGCAAGGAAGTGAATGAGATGTATGGCAAGTTTTGTGAAATATATGATAAAGGCACAAAAAAATTTATACCAAAACAGAGATGCAGAACTAGGAAACAGGATTGGTTCAATAGAAATTGCGAGAGGGCTAGAGACCGAAAGACACAAAAATGGAATCAATACAGGAAGAGGCCGAACCCCCAAACATACCAGCGATACAAAGATGCGAGAAACAACTACACGGCAGTGAGGAGAGAGGCAGAAAGAAATTTTGAAAAAGGGATTGCGGACAAATGTAAAACAGAACCAGGTCTATTCTATAAATTCATAAACAACAAATTGCAGGTAAAGGATAATATTCAGAGGTTGAAAATGGGAAATAGATTCACGGAAGATGAAAAGGAAATGTGTGAAACACTAAACGAAAAGTTCCAAAGTGTGTTTGTACAAAATGAAATCTTTAGGGAACCAGATACAATAAGAATTCCAGAGAACAACATAGAACACATAGAGGTGTCTAGAGACGAAGTGGAAAAAATGCTCAAGGAGCTCGGTAAGAACAAAGCAGCTGGCCCAGATGGCGTTTCACCATGGGTTCTGAGAGAATGTGCATCTGAGCTCAGCATTCCACTTCACCTGATCTTTCAGGCATCCCTGTGTACAGGAATCGTAGCAGACGGGTGGAAACAGGCTAACATAGTTCCAATCTACAAAAGTGGCAGCAGGGAAGACCCCCTCAATTATAGACCTGTATCATTGACAAGTGTAATAGTGAAAGTATTGGAAAAACTAATCAAAACTAAATGGGTAGAACACCTAGAGAGAAATGATATAATATCAGACAGACAGTATGGTTTTCGATCTGGAAGATCCTGTGTATCGAATTTACTCAGTTTCTATGATCGAGCCACAGAGATATTACAGGAAAGAGATGGTTGGGTTGACTGCATCTATCTGGACCTAAAAAAGGCTTTCGACAGAGTTCCACATAAGAGGTTGTTCTGGAAACTGGAAAATATTGGAGGGGTGACAGGTAAGCTTCTATCATGGATGAAAAATTTTCTGACTGATAGAAAAATGAGGGCAGTAATCAGAGGCAATGTATCAGAATGGAGAAATGTCACAAGTGGAGTACCACAGGGTTCAGTTCTTGCACCAGTGATGTTTATTGTGTACATAAATGATCTACCAGTTGGTATACAGAATTATATGAACATGTTTGCTGATGATGCTAAGATAATAGGAAGGATAAGAAATTTAGATGACTGTCATGCCCTTCAAAAAGACCTGGACAAAATAAGTATATGGAGCACCACTTGGCAAATGGAATTTAATGTTAATAAATGTCATGTTATGGAATGTGGAATAGGAGAACATAGACCCCACACAACCTATATATTATGTGAGAAATCTTTAAAGAATTCTGATAAAGAAAGAGATCTAGGAGTGGTTCTAGATAGAAAACTATCACCTGAGGACCACATAAAGAATATTGTGCAAGGAGCCTATGCTATGCTTTCTAACTTCAGAATTGCATTTAAATACATGGATGGCGATATACTAAAGAAATTGTTCATGACTTTTGTTAGGCCAAAGCTAGAATATGCAGCTGTTGTGTGGTGCCCATATCTTAAGAAGCACATCAACAAACTGGAAAAGGTGCAAAGACATGCTACTAAGTGGCTCCCAGAACTGAAGGGCAAGAGCTACGAGGAGAGGTTAGAAGCATTAAATATGCCAAAACTAGAAGACAGAAGAAAAAGAGGTGATATGATCACTACATACAAAATAGTAACAGGAATTGACAAAATCGACAGGGAAGACTTCCTGAGACCTGGAACTTCAAGAACAAGAGGTCATAGATTTAAACTAGCTAAACACAGATGCCGAAGAAATATAAGAAAATTCACCTTCGCAAATAGAGTGGTAGACGGTTGGAACAAGTTAAGTGAGAAGGTGGTGGAGGCCAAGACCGTCAGTAGTTTCAAAGCGTTATATGACAAAGAGTGCTGGGAAGACGGGACACCACGAGCGTAGCTCTCATCCTGTAACTACACTTAGGTAATTACACTTAGGTAATTACACACACACACACACACACACACACACACACACACACACACACACACACACACACACACATACATACACACACAGTATATGTATGCAGAAAAACCACATGTGAAAAGTAGAGAATGCTTAACACGTTTTCGGCTACATCGCCTTCATCAGAGCAAAGTAGAATGTGAGTTTGTAGTACTCACCTAGTTGTGTTTGTGGGGGTTGAGCTCTGGCTCTTTAGTCCCGCCTCTCAACCGTCAATCAACAGGTGTACAGATTCCTGAGCCTATTGGGCTCTATTATATCTACACTTGAAACTGTGTATGGAGTCAGCCTCCACCACATCACTTCCTAATGCATTCCATTTGTCAACCACTCTGACACTAAAAAAGTTCTTTCAAATATATATAATATATATAGTGTTCTACAGAGTGTGTAGAATGTCATTCTACTTTGCTCTGATGAAGGGGATGTAGACGCGTTAAGCATTCTCTATTTTTCACATGTAGTTTTTCTGCACACACACACATATATATTATATATATATATATATGTCGTACCTAATAGCCAGAACGCACTTCTGAGCCTACTATGCAAGGCCCGATTTGCCTAATAAGCCTAGTTTTCATGAATTAATATATTTTTTCAATTTTTTTGCTTATGAAATGATATAGCTACTCATTTCATTATGTATGAGGTCAATTTTTTTTTATTGGAGTTAAAATTGACGTAGATATATGACCGAACCTAACCAACCCTACCTAACCGAACCTAACCTATCTTTATAGGATAGGTTAGGTTAGGTAGCCGAAAAAGGTAGGTTAGGTTAGGTTAGGTAGGTTAGGTAGTCGAAAAGCAATTAATTCATGAAAACTTGGCTTATTAGGCAAATCGGGCCTTGCATAGTAGGCTGAGAAGTGCGTTCTGGCTACTAGGTACGACATACATATATATATATATATATATATATATATATATATATATATATATATATATATATATATATATATATATATATATATATATATATATATATATATATATATATATATATATATATATATATATATATATATATATATATATGTATGTCGTACCTAGTAGCCAGAACGCACTTCTCAGCCTACTATGCAAGGCCCGATTTGCCTAATAAGCCAAGTTTTCATGAATTAATTGCTTTTCGACTACCTAACCTACCTAACCTAACCTATATATATATATATATATATATATATATATATATATATATATATATATATATATATATAAATATATAATATAAAATGGACATGCAAATTTCCAATGTTATCATCATCACATTAGCTTAAATGGATTCAATGGCTTTTGTTTATCCCATGGGAACATTATATAGTCATATGGTTGGGAAATTGTGAGAATTTATAAATAATGATTAAGTATATTTTTTATTGCAATACACTGTATAATAAATTGAGACATATATTTCTCCCAAGTAACATTAACTTAGATTTGTATGATTACTGATGTGCAAGACTTTCAGGAAAGCATACTTGTACAAACTGTGGATCCCCTTTACATAAATTATTCATAAAACAGTAAAATATTAAAAAGTACAGTAATACTAAAATTAAACAAAATTCCAGTAAGCCATATGTAACATTTACCTGTAAGAACCATGGAGAGCTCACATGAGTAGTTAGAGTTATAGAGCCAGCCACCATAGTTCAAGTCCCACGCATGGTACCGACCAGGAAATCCCACAATCCGATCTCTCTCCTCCCTCCATACTCTTTAAAAGTGTAATTTAAATACAGTAATAAAATAAATCACTTTAACATGCATCTTTAGTATTGAGAACTAATTATTTCCTTAAGCTAAATGAGATGTTTCAACATGTAATGTATACCTTATTGTTTAAAATTTTGAAGAATGGACACGTAGAATATGCTCTAATAATTTTAGACCTTAGCAATCTCCATATCTTGAACTATTAGAAGACACTGCAATAACATTAAACTAACAGCTAGTTGGAAATAAACTTGTTTAACAGACATTTAAAATTACATAGCCAAGTCATTATAAGAATAGAAGAACACTGCCATGGAAATACTGGTCCATGTGAGGCAGGTTCCTTAACCTTTAGACCGTGGAATACATACATATATGATTTCACAAAAAATAATTTAACCTAAGTTTTTAAAACTTGCACACTTTCCAATTTTTGTTTGCATAATCTACTCGGCAAATGCTCCAACTTTGTCTAAATGATCACAGCATAACTTGAAAAACAAGAGAATAAAAATTAATTTTAAAAGTTAATATTGAAAACTTCAGATTTTCAATTCAGAATAAAAAACAAGCGTTGAATGTAATGAAGCGCCATTTTCTGGGTGAGTCCTGGAGGCTCCCGGGAGCTATCCCAGGCTGAATGGATATGTATAATTTTCTGGCATCAAAGTGCTAGGAGTTCTTGCCTACTGGGGACCACGTGCCAGAACCAGGCCCCCTCAGAGAGGCACGAGGAGCAATGGCCTATAGAAACCCCATTGTGGTTGGGAGCATTCTATGTCTGCCATCGACCGGGATAGGCACCCAGAAAGGTAGGCACCCCAAAACAAACCCTTATTCTGGTGAAAATATTACTATCGAAAGCCGAACGAGTGGACAGAACTCCCCAAACAAAGTTATCAAACTAGCATGATGTCATCATGTCGCCGCGCCACCATCTGCGCAACCCCCCTCCCTTTCCCCAGGAGGGGGAAGGGGGAGCCCCAGACCCTCAGTGCCAGCGACCCAACTGGCAGTTCTTATGTTGGATGTCAAAATATGCGAAAAATGCCGCCGACCGGAGGGAGGGAGGGATGCTGGGGAGCCTCCCTTCCGACATGAGCCTCCCTCGTGTCAGGAGGGAGGAACCACGACAAGCAAGCACAAACTCACGGAGGTACATATGGACAAAAATAACCCCTGATCAAGGGACATGCAGGGACCCCTGATTCAAAGGGAACAGTATTGCGACATAAGCGCGAAAGGGTAAGGAAAATGGGGCGAAACACCACCCCAGGAACGATGGGACCGACTAACCCGAAGGGACACGGAACCGAACCCAGCGAGGGGTATACCCGAACCAACAGGAACACAGAGGGGGAAGGAACAACGCCACTCAGAGGAACTGCCAGCCCCTCACCAAGGGTACAAAGACCCAAGAGGGGCAAATGGGGCCGAGGCCACCCAGGCAACCCCTCCCCAACCCCGGGAACCTCTACGGCAAGACCCGGGGCTGAGCCGCACCCCCAAAGCCCCAGCTTAATAAGGAAAAGCCGGGGCAGCCATACAAACACTAAGGAAGGGAGCCCACTGGTCAAACCCATACGGCACGGCTGGAGGAACCGACTCGAATGCCTCCACCACCACCCTGAAATCCCCCGAGACCGCCTGAGTCTCAACCCAACCAGACCCCGCTCCAACCCTGAAACCTGTCTACGGTTCGGAGCCCGGAAGCAAGGGAGGAAATGTGCAAAACAGAAGGGGAAGGACGAGGAGTGGAAGGAGCCAGAGCCGAAGCAACCCTCACCCCCAAGTCCGGACCCCAACAACCAAAACGGGGCAGCCTCGAGGCATCCGGGGCCATAAACAACCAAGAGCGTTGCAGCAACCTGAACCTAGCAAGCAACCCCGCATCCGCCTGCACACGATTATCATGACCAGTGGCCTGGGTGAACGAGAGCACATACCGACAACACCTATCGCATGACACCGGGTTATAAGAAACAATGACCCAACAGGCAGCATGGCAGAGGCACAACCGGTGAGTGTCATCCTGAGACAAGGGGACAGAGCAACTGTCAAACTCGCAGGACGTGAGGGGGGACTTCAGGGACACACTCGTAGGACGAGGCCCAGTGGGGTTTCCCAGGGCTCTTAGCCTTGGGTACATGCTAAGGGAAGCCCAGGCAGGGTACCGCGAACTGGTGCCCAAGTCTGCATAATCCTTCAGTTCCAGTTATTAGGAGCTATTCACCTTATCAATAAAACGTTCTTATTTTTAAAAAATTCGCCTAAAATCAATTTCTGAAAATATTTTGATGAAAGTTTCATGACACTGAAGCCAATAAGTTGGAGATTTATTTAACAATTTACAGTTATTTTTACATAATTAAAATATTTTTTGCTACTATACCCTTATATTCGCAGAAATATGCGCGGTCTAAGGGTTAAATGCACAATCATTTTCACTAAAATTTTTCATTAAAAATTTTCAAGAATTGTTTCATGTCTACAGTTCTAATGTCAAACCAGTGCTTACACCTTAATTTTAAGTGTAAATGTGTTGTTTTGCATTCTATCTTCTTATGATATTTCATCATGCTATTTATATTCATCTTTGTTAAATACCTTTCAGACATTTGTAATAATAAGGCTAAAGCACTAAACCATAATTATATAAAATTTGAAAGGAATATGAAGATAGAGTGAAGGGGCTCAACTACGTGGAGCATCAAGGATCGAATGCGAACTCCGCAAGAAGTGAGGCTGTCGTTGCACTCACCGGTCTAAATATATAGCCTAGTCTCAATACTGACAAATTGAAAGGTTATGCAAAGGAAAACACTGCTATCTGATAAAAGCTACACAATATTGAAATTACCAAATCAGATTGTGAAAAATAACTGGGAATTATGTTTAGTAGGGATATAAATCCAAAATGATAATGTACAAACATCTGAAATATTGCTAGTAATATATGATTTAAGGATTCATATGTATAAAAATCATTATTAACAACTCAAAATATTATTCATCAAGATTATTTTGCCTTTGTGAGACTTCATGTGGATTAGACAGTGCAGTTTTAGGTAGTACAGGTATATTAATAAATGGGTTATAATTATCTTGAGATTATACTAAGAAAACATTGTAGAATCAATGGAATTATTGAAGTAATGGAGTCAAATGAGAACAGTTTAGATTTCAGAAATAATTAAACAATAGTTAAAAAATAGGGTTACAGATCTGTAGCACAAGTTTCCAAGTAATATCATAGAAGCAAACTCAATGTAAATTTTCAAGGAGAGATTGGGCAAGTACATGAGTGGCAGCAGATAGAGACACAGTAAATAGGGAGTTGTTTCACATAGGTCCATAGATATTTTACAGATGATGAGTCACAGTAATGTGACAAGATTGATGACCAAACCACACACCAGAAGAAGAAGAAACAGCACTTCTTCATCTTTTGGTGTGTGGTTTGGTCATCAGATTCCTTATTTTTCATGTTCTCATATTATCTAACAATAACAATTCTCTTGTCACTCACCTAAACCCAAAGACAATCTCATCATGCCGAAGGTGAGCATCGTCGTCCACAGACAGAACAGCTTCTGTCTCAATTTCCGAATAAGGCAAGAATCGATTGTTAAGACTGTTTCGCTCTGCTCGTATCACCTGCAAGGACAATGTGCAGCATTACTCCTCCCACAATACTATGCACAGCGCAAATTATCACAACAATCCTGCTATTATCAGAATCCTGGCCATTTTTATTACAGTCAGGGTCTTCGGTAATACTTAAATATTACCAGTTACATATATTTTTTACATTTTTAGGCAATGCTGTGGTCAGAAGTTGAACAGTATTGCTGTGAGTTCATGCTGTATGTGCCAGCCTTGGTGGCTCACTCAGTACTGAGGCTTTCACACCTGGGAATGTTGCCCATGATTTTTTTTAGAAAATGGCATCTGTTTACAAGAGCCCTGAGGAAGCTGGTGTGAACCCTGTGTAGCAGCGGGACTTTTAAATCTTGCGTGGTACTCCCAAACATCATATGATGTAGTGCACAATTTATCGACAGTTACTCAAGACATTATATGATGTTTTGGGCAGTTTAAGTGTTAATGCTCTCCATTCTTTCCACTCTTCTTTCCAGAGGCTTAAAATTAATTTAAAAAGTCCAAAGAAATTTATGGCTATAATGCAAAGTTAAATACACTGCAATGTACATAAACGTTATGGAATTCTAATGAGCTACTGACCTGAATTGGAACCTTGATATCAGGCCACCGCAGATCCTCCGGCGGGGGCTTCGGTGAATTCCATACAACGATTACCTTGTTCAGATATGGTAAACCATACAAACGAGCCAGAGAATTCAGCAATACCTTTTAACAAAAACCAACAGTTGCAGTACTAATCAATGAAGGAATTTACAAAACAGGAGCATAAATAATAATAAATAACCAGCGTTGAATGTAACGAAACGCCATTTTCTGGGCGAGGCCCGGAGGCTCCCCGGAGCTTTACCAGGCTGATATGCTAATGTCAGACTTTGGCATCAGTCATGTGTATGGAGTTCTAGGACCTACCGGGGATTACGGCCAGAACCTGGCCCCCTCAGAGAGGCAAGGGGAGCAATGGCCTATAGAAACCCCCATGTGGTTGGTAGCATTCTATGTCTGTCATCGACTGGGTCAAGCATTCAGAAAGGTAAGCATTCCAAAACAAACCCCTATTCTGGTTAAAATTGCTACCAAAAGCCGAACTAGTGGATAAAACTCCCCAACAGAAAACAAGCAAACTAGTATGACGTCACACGTCACTGCGCCGCTGTCTGCGCAGCTCCCCCCCTCCCCGGGAGGGGGAGACCCAGATCTCTCACACCGGCTATCCACCCATCAGTTCTTCGGCTGATGCTATAGGCACCGGTTGTGTGCTCCGGCTCCATTAGTTGTTTCAGCACTAGTGTGTGGTGTCTGTCTTTTAGGTGGTGCGTGAGCCGGGAGTGAGTCTCCAGTACTCGGGCTGCATGCGCCTAGGGTTCCCTTCCCTAGGTGCCCTGTAAGTACTGCCCTTGGGGCCACCTTCCACAAGTTCCTTGGGGTCTGCCCCTGCTAGGCCGTTTACTGCTTGGTTTTCGGCCACTCTTTGTGTGCTCGGGTGTTCTGTCGCCCTTGTTCGCCTTAGGGTAAGGGGCAGTTTTGCACTGGTGGGGCGCAGGGTGCTGCGCAGGCTGTTTTCACCTATATGGCGGCCGGCTCTGTTCCGCCTAGGTATGCTGTCCTCTTGCAGGGTTTTATTTTTATTTTTGTTTATCTACCTGGTGGGGGTCTGCCTTTGTTCTTGCCGCCTGTGTCCCTTGTGATCTGAGTATTATTCTGGTGGTTCCTCCTGCTAGGTCCCCATGAGTCCTGGGGGTTCAGTTCTTAGAAAGTTGTTTGGTAGCTTTGGGGCCGGTTTGCAGTACCCTGCCTGGGATTACTTAAGTGCGAGTCCTATTATTGTAAACGCTCGGGACCCTGGGAAACCCCTGGGGACGCGCGGGTCCGATGGACGTGACCCCAGAGTCCCCCCTCGCTTCCAGCGAGTTTGAGGGTTGCTCTCACCCCTTGTCTCAGGGTGACTCTCTGTTTTGCCTCTGCTGCCTGTTGGGTCTGTGACACCTTCGACCCGGAGTCCTGCGAGTTTTGTTGCTCGTTGTGGCTCGGTTAACCAGTTGTGTGCTGACTAAGCGGGTGCAGGCAGCAGGGGCATTGCACATTGAGCTTTGGTGGTGGCAACGCTCTCGTTTGTTTGCTCCCCGGGAGCCCCGGGGCTGCCCTGTTTTGGTTCGTGTTGGGGCTTGGGGGTGTTGGTTGCTTTGGTTCCTTCCACGCCCCCTTGTCTTTTCCCTGGATCCCCCCTTCCGCCTCCATCCAGTTCCTTACCGTCTGTAGGTTCCGGGCGGTCTCGGGGAATTCCCCTTCCGGGGTAGTGATGGGGGCATTCGAGCCTGTTCCTCCAGCCATGTTGTAAGAGTCTGCCAGTGGGCTCCCTTAGTATTTTCGCGGCTGTCCCGGTTTTCTGGTACGGCCGGGGCTTTGGGAGGACGGCTCGGCCCCGGGGCCTGTCGTGTGGTTTCCCAGGGCTGGGGAGGGGCTGACTTGGGGGGCCTAGGCCAAATAGGACCCCGCAGGTTTTTTTTCTCCCCTCTAGGCGGGGCTTGCGGTTACACGGAGTGGGGTTTTTCCTCCCCCCTCGCTGTACGAGTTGTTGGGCGTCGGCCCCTCCCCGGGCTCTGTTCCTTGTCCTTTGAGTCGGTTGGTTCCGTCCTGTAGGTGAGTGCTCTTCTCCGTTGCTCCCAGGAGTCCTTAACAGTTCTGACCGTGGTACCCGGTAGGCCCTAGAACTCCATACACATGACTGATGCCAAAGTCTGACATTAGCATATCAGCCTGGTAAAGCTCTTAGCATAGCATATCAGCCTGGTAAAGCTCTTAGCATAGCATATCAGCCTGATAAAGTCAGCTCTTCTGGGGAGCTGACAGGGCTCCCCAGAAAAAAAATAATACTTTAAACATTCTTTTAAAAAAATGGAAATACAGTACTGTACTTGCTGTATTAACTGTATACATATAAAACAGTGTTGAATGTAATGAAATACCTCTTTCTGGTTGGGGCTCAAGTGGCTCACTGAAGCTAGTCATATTACCCCCAGGAGTCCTTAACAGCCTACCGGAGACAAGTGCCAGAGCCTGGTGTCCACCTTTCCCTTGAAAGAGACACAGGGAGCAGGGGATTGTTACAATTACCATCACTGAGGAAAAATCTAGAAAGTAAGTGAGGCAAAATAGACAACTGCAAGGTTCACAGAGAAAAGAAATAAAGCAGCAAATAACTCCACAAACGATACATGCAGTAGTCAAGTAGTCAGTTTGAACTCCTAGTAACAGCTTACCATAGACAGGCGACAGAACCACTAGAAGACACTGGCTCCCAATGTCAACATTCTTCAATTGAAACCCTAGAACAACAAAGTGATGCACCTGGTAGGGGGGTGGGGGAGGGACCACTGAGCTACCGAGGCCCAACCAACAACAGACATTTCGTTACATTTAATGCTTGTTTTCTAGAGAATCTGAATGATGGCTCCCTGAAGCTAACCATAGAACCATAGAAAAGAAAACCTGGACTTATCAGGGAGGAGAATGATGCCTACCCTTTCAAAAAGGAGAGACCAGGTTGGGAAACCTGACCCAAAGCCACACACACACCCAATGAGAACCAGGAATATTGTTCTGATATTGAGCTGCCAGAACCCTGTTAGATATTCACCCCCCCCCCCCCCCGAGTCCAGATATCAGACAAAGATACAGTATGTTAAAAAACACCGTAGTCAGAGCTGCAAATTTACCAACATCATGGGCCAGAGGGTAGACTGTGGGATGGCTAGACTTAATAACACTGGACAACCTGAGACAGACAAGCCTTGGAAAAGGGATCTAAGGAGATGGGATAAACAAACACTGCAAGAAAAAAAATGTAAAAATAGAGCATTGGCCCAGAAGTGAGTACTGTATTTCAATACCCACTTCTGAGTATTATACCTCACTAGATACCCAATGCTTTACACTAGTCACTCCTGGAGAAGAATACTCACAGCAGCCATCCTGGAGACAACCTACAGACTGTGAACAAGGGCCTTTTCTGTGGAGAGTCCCTTTGGCTCCCTGAGCTATACTGGGCTGATGTGTATATATTAGACCGTGGCAACAGTCAATCGAAGACATTCTAGCCTACCAGGGACCAGAGCTAGAACATGGCCCCCCTCAAGAGAGGGGGGCCAGTAAAGTGTGTTGTGTTGTTTGATTGTTTGCTTGTTTCCTTGCGATTGTAGGGAGTTTCTACCTCTCTGTTTGGTTTTTTGTTTTAGTTTCGCGCTCTCGAAACGCCAGGCGAGCGTCTTGCCACTACGCCACGGAGACTGTATTGACTGAATTGACTGATGCCATGGCCTAATACATACATATCAGCCCGGTAAGATCCAGGGAGCCACAGGGCTTTTCACAAAAAAGTTCCTAAATTTTTGAGCTTAAGTAAATCACTGCATCAATTATTCTTACCTGCTCCCTTTCATATGTCAACATTACAATTGTAAATTGCTCCTTGGGTAAGTTTCCACCAAGGCTCTCGCTAAATTCCTTTCCAGAGCCTCCAGAACCTCCATTGATTGGCCGAAATCCAAGCTTGGAGCCAGAGAATTTAGCTTCTGTTGGCAGTATTGGATTTGTAGGAAGATTGGGGTAAAGGTTGAAGGGGTCACCCCAAACATTCCAGATTTCATAACCGTTCAGCAGCGAAGTGGTGTAGTTACGAGTGAAGACAGTGGATGGGAATGGGGGTTCAATAGGTCCGAGGTTTTCATCAGTGTCAGGATCTGGTATGTTGGCATCAGTTTTCAGAGGCTGTAGGAGGCATATTAAATGAGTTGTATACAAATGCCTGAGAAGTGCTAGAAACTACAAGGTTTAAACATAAATACACATACGTTGCATTTTGTTTACATATGCAAGAAGTCTTAAGAAATTGAACAGGGAGAGATTCACGAGTTCTGGAGAGTAACATATCACCAAAAGATCATATCAAGGGCATAGTCACAGGGGCTTATGAAACAATAGCCAATTTCAGAATTTCCTTGAAATACTGTACATAGAGAAATACTACAAGACAATGTTGGGGAAGGTTCAAAGATACACCACCAGACTAGTCCCAGAACTACAAGGTATGACTCACAAGAAAAAGCTACACGAATTGAACCTCATGTTGTTGGAAGAAATTAGTTAGGGGGAAATATGATTACCACATACAAAATTCTCAGCAAAATTGATAGGGCAGATAGAGACAGACTTGTAGCGAGTAAACCTTATATTTGCTATAGACGTATCTAGCAGCTTTCTCAAACACTAAATGTCGAGTACACAATGTGTCAACTTTGTGAAAGAGAAAACGTGCACTCACTTGAACATTATATTGTAGAATGTCCCATATTGACTGACTTTCGCCCTCCTGGGCTGAGGCATGCTGAACTCTGTAACTACTATATGAGTACTTGATGATATATTGGACTTGTACCCTAGATTGACCATGTACTGTACTCGCCTAATTGTGCTTGTGGGGGGTTGAGCTCTGGCTCTTTGGTCTCGCCTCTCAACTGTCAATCAACTGATGTACAGATTCCTGAGCCTACTGGGCTCTATCATGTATCAATTATATAATGTATGTATGTATGTGATGTAACGACAGTATATAACTTAAGCTTGTAAAAGCATCTTAATCATCTTCAGTGGTTAAGTGCTTAATTGCACACTAGTTTCTCTATCAGCTATCTCACCCTGTCAGAGTAAAAGAGACAAATGTATGTAATTACCTAAGTAATTACCTAAGTGTAGTTACAGGATGAGAGCTACGCTCGTGGTGTCCCATCTCCCCAGCACTCTTTGTCATATAACGCTTTGAAACTACTGACGGTTTTGGCCTTCACCACCGTCTCACTTAACTTGTTCCAACCGTCTACCACTCTGTTTGGGAGCCACTTAGTAGCATGTCTTTGCACCTTTTCCAGTTTGTTGATGTGCTTCTTAAAATACGGGCACAACACAACCGCTGCATATTCTAGCTTTGGCCTTTACCTGTACTTTACCTGAATAAATATTTGTATTTGTATTTGTATTTTGTATTTGTACGTATGAGCATCGTCGGCCGAGCGGACAGCACGCTGGACTTGTGATCCTGTGGTCCTGGGTTCGATCCCAGGCGCCGGCGAGAAACAATGGGCAGAGTTTCTTTCACCCTATGCCCCTGTTACCTAGCAGTAAAATAGGTACCTGGTTGTTAGTCAGCTGTCACGGGCTGCTTCCTGGGGGTGGAGGCCTGGTCGAGGACCGGGCCGTGGGGACACTAAAAAGCCCCGAAATCATCTCAAGATAACCTCAAGAATCAAGATAACATGATTAAGAACTAATACATTACTTTATGAACTAATTTTATATTTCACTTACCACAAAAGAATCATTGAAGACACTAACTGAGGGCTCTTCAGCTGCTGGAAGTGGTGGGATATTAAGTCTCTGTCTTAGAGTTGCCAAAATGGAATCTACTAGAACTTGAGTTGAACCCAAGAATCGCTCCCATACCAGACGACCTTGACGGCGCATGAAAAGAATATCTGTATCCGATAGTGATCGAAGGAGGAAATGGAGCTCTGTAACACGAGCTTTTGGTAAGACAAGGGCTAATTTGCGCCAATCAATGGATTCGCTCAGAGGCAGCTCAATATGATTTCCCAGAATAACTGGAATGGCTCCATATTTAATAGCCTCATAAATTCTTGCTTGTAAGGTGATGGTGGTAACTTCAGAAGAAGAAAGAGGTGCCATTATTAAAGAAAATGTAGAATCACGCAGGATCTGGGTGCGCATGCTTTCAGTTTCGCACATCTGCCATTCCTCCAAGTTTCCATAACCTCCGCTTCCTTGGCAAGTGAACTGTAAGAGAAACTGATCATCAGTGTGAGTATGTTCAAGCTGCATTAGCTCCTCAACAACAGCAACTTCTTCCCTTATTTGAGGATTGTTTGAAAGAGAATGTTCTTCTTTATCTAAATAGTTTCGTAGCCGTGGTAATTCACCTTGGAATGCTAATAAATATTTTCGTTTGGCTGGCACTAGTGGAGGAAGATTTTGCCACAGGTCACCACCAGGGAGGCCTAGAAGTGGAGGAGTTACTAGATCAAATCCAGGTCGATATAGATGAGAATAAAAATGAGACTGAACTGTTATAGCTCGAGCTGTATTGATACCTTCAAAAATATTCTTACTATAGAATGTTCTTCCAAGATTGAGAAGAACATGATTGCGGCCATCCCCATTCCAATATGGCAAGCTATGAAGTGTCTCTTCCAAGTTAACCTTATCAGCAGATGGACCAATACTCTCACCCATTAAAACAATAAAAATGCAGGCTTCATTTGGATCTGAAGTAACCTGAGCATTGTAGCCTAATGCTTGTTTCACAGTAATTTTAACGAAAGCTTCCAAGTCATTTGACAGGATTCTGTATTGGTCAACATCATAGTAGTACACAGGAAAGTTTGAAAGTAGAGAACATTTTGAATAATCAAAGCAGTTGTGCATTCGACAGTGAGAAATGCTCTGAGGACTCGGCAAAGGCATATGAATATTGTCCTTGTAAGTGGCAGTGATCCGTCGTGGAGCTACAATTTGTGGCATATTCTTCTCAAATACTTCACGTTGCGTAAGAAGAGCCTGAAAAGAGTAAAATATATCATGTATATTGGATGTTTAAAAAACTAATAAAATTATAAATTGTTTATTACATGAGAGCATTCAATAAATAAAACTCAAGGCTGGCATATCTAACAAGATTAGCATACTAACAGGGAGGTGTAATGAGTATGGTGGTAGTAATGATAACTGATTGCTATAGATTACAGAGAGTTTAATGTGTCTACATAGTATAAAAAGTGCAGACTGAACATGTTGAGGACTACTGTTCCCAAGGGAGTGATTATGTAATTAGTATATAGGTTTGACAACGTCTTCAGATAAATTGTTACAGTATTTCTGTTTTCTTTCATTATTTGCATTTGTTTTCATTATTATATTTTTTAATTTTATTTTTTAGAAAATGATTTTAAAATTGTTAACAATTATTTTTTCCCTGATATGCATATGGAATTATGCATTGCAAATTTGTTCTCCATTTACTTCTAAACTACATTCTACTTACTATTTTTGTAGTCTGCAGACTACAAAATAGTCTACAGACAGAGCATGCTAACATTTTGAATAAGCACTTGGATAGCACAATATATTTACCTGTTCAACACTGGTTTTGAGTCTTTCAAGTTCAGTTTTTATTCTATTTTCCTCCAATCGCAGACTCTCTATTCGTGATGTGGCAGAAGCAATGTTTTCCTGAAGTTGCTGGCGGTGTTGCTCCAGGTCTCGTAACTCATTAAGCACAGATGCTAACAAGTTCAGAACATGTGAACTTAATATTTTTATCTAATTACAAGAATAGAAGAAATCAATATATATATCTCCCTACCAAGATGAAAATATTTAAAAAACCAGCGTTGAATGTAATAAAACGCCATTTTCTGGGTAAAACCCAAAGGCTTCTCGGAGCTGATATGGATATATTGGACTTTGGCCTCAGTCAATGTGAATGGAGTTCTAGGCCAACCGGGGACAATGAGCCAGAACCTGGCCCCCCTCTCAGAAAGGCATGAGGAGCAATGGCCTATGGAAACACCCTGTGTTGTTGGAAGCATTCCATGTCTGCCATCGACTGGGTCAGGCACTCAGAAAGGTAGGCTCCCCAAAACAAACCTCTATTCTGGTAAAGATATTGCTACTGAAAGTCGAACCAGTGGACAGAACTCCCCAAATGAAAACGAGCAAACGAGCATGATGTCACCACGTCGCTCTCTGCGCAACCCCACCCCCCTTCCCGGGACATGGGAAGGCGGAGTCCCAGACCTTCATACCAGCTATCCACCCTGCAGTTCTGAGGCTGGATGTCAAAAACCGCGTAAAAGAAAAACAGCTGACCGGAGGGAGGGAGGGTTGCCGGGAAGTCTCTGGATCTCACCCAGAAAGTGGTGTTTCATTTAGCACTTGTTTCCTAGGGGGGAGCTACAACTCTCAGAAGCTGCTTACCCAAAGACAAAAACAAGAGAGACATACCTGGGAGGTGGCTTCCCAATTGAAAAACGAGCAAACTTATGAACGGCATGGACATGAGAAGAGACCGCAGGCTGGCTGGACCAAAGTGCCCAGAGGATGACACGGGAGACCCCGAACCCTGGAACAGGAAAGAAGGGAAACTGGGCAACCCCAAAACGCGTCCCCGGCCACAGAGGCTGTGGCGCGCACAAACCGGTGAAGAGCCGCAAACCGGACACAACACATGATGCACCTCCGGCCTGACCAACCAAGCATCAACAACCCAAGGACCCCTCCGGAAAGCAGCAGTCTCAATCTTCGCCAGAAAAGAAGAAGATGTCTGTAACCGATCAAACCTATCACCAGGACCAAAAGATCTGAAACCTCTGCGCTGGAGGAGAGCATGATGCTCCCCGACCCGACCCCCCAGATGCCAATGTCAACAGGAAAAGAGCCTTGGAGAAACAATCCTGAACTGAAGAGACCACTACAAACCGAGGAGAAGAGAGATAAGAAAGCACCCGGTCCAAACACCAGGATGGCTCAGGCAGCACATGAGCAGGCCGGAGGTGAAGCAACTCACGAGACAGCTTGCGAAACGGCGCAGAAGTAACATCAATGCCGCACGCAAACTGCAACGGCTCCTCGAGTGCCGCAAGATACGAGGCGACAGTATCTGGCATAAGATGAGAGTTCCGAAACAACCACAAGAGAAAGGACAAGACAACCTATTCAGAAACCGAAGTCAACCTACGAAGGGACAAGAAGAAACGGAAGGACTGCCAGGAAACTTCATATTGCTGCCAAGACGAAGCACGCAGGTGGGACACCATCAATGATGCCACATGCCTCGCAGTCTGGGAAGGGTGCCAAGTATAATAGGAGATGCCTCGACCATGCCGATGTAAAGAGGTCCACCTCCGGCAGCTCATACGTCTGGCAAAGCCCACTGAATGAGTCTGCGGTGACCATCCATTCCATGGACAGGGGAATGAACCATGACAGGCCGTCCGCTAGGATGTTGGACCACTCCCCGAATGTGAACGGCCAGAGAGAAAAACCTCGAGAACTCAGCAGACAAGTCACCTCTTTTGAAACCAGCAACTTAACGAACAAGAGGACATAGATTTAAGGTAAGGAAACAAAAGTGTCAAAAATATATTAGAAAGTTTTCTTTTACAAACAGAGTGGTAGACGGTTGGAACAAGTGAGGTGGTGGTGGAGTCCAAAACCATCAATAGTTTGTGTTATATGACAGAGTACTGGGAAGACGGGACACCACGAGCATAGCTCTCATCCTGTAACTACACTTAAGCAATTACCCGAAGCGACCAGCCTCAAAGAGCCAAGGACCACATTGAACCCCTAGCAGGGAACCACCAAGATACAAGAGGGTGAGACCAAAACCAAGGTGCAGACCCCACCAGACAAGAAAACAAAAACAAAAGAAAGCCCCGCAAGAGGACAACGTACCCAGGCGGAACAGAGCCGGCCGCTATGAGAGGTGACAACTAGCTGCACAGTACCCTGTGCACTAACCAGTGCAAACTACCCCTACCCAAAGGCAAAGGGTGAATGAAACACCCCCAACACACTAAGGGCAGTCAATCACTGAGCAGCAAAAGACCAAGCAGAGGTAGGGCCCAAGGAGACTTATGGAAGGTGGCCCCAAGCACCAAGGGCAGTACTTACAGGGCACCTAGGGAAGGGGACCCTAGGTGCATGCAGCCTGAGTACTTGTGAAATTACTCCTGGCTCATCACCACCAAAGAAAGAGCACAACACCACAAGGCACAGAGCTGGAGGACAGGAAAACGGGAGCCAGAATCACACGGTCGTTGCCAATCACATCAGACAAAGAACTGCAGGGTGGATACCCAATGTGAAGGTCTGGGGCACTCCCTTTCCCCTCCCGGGAAGTGGTGGGTTGCACAGACAGCGGCGCGGTGACGTCATGCTCATTTTCATTTAGGGAGTTTTGCCCACTGGTTCGGCTTTCAGTAGCAATATCTTTACCAGAATAGGGGTTGTTTTGGGGTGCTAACCTTTCTGGGTGCCTGACCCGGTTGATAGCAGACATGGAATGCTTCCAACCACATGGAGGTTTCCATAGGCCCTTGCTCCTCGTGCCTCTCTGAGGGGGCCAGGTTCTGGCTCGTGGTCCCTGGTAGGCCTAGAGTTCCATTCACATTGTCTGATATATGCATATCAGCTCTGGGGAGCTGTAGGCCCCCCCCCCAGAAAATAATGTACTGTATATATCATCTTCAAAACAAATCATAATGCATGTCATAATGCATTAGTGAACAGGAAGGAAGAAATTATGTATATAATTTAGGCTAAAGACCAAGAGCTTAGACAGACTAATGAGCAGAAAATAAAATGTTACTGTACAGAAGTACTGTACAGCATTTATGGAAACTTAATTTAGGCATAAGGTACTGAAGTAACCCATGAATATCAGTTGTCCCTATGCTTAACTACAACTCATTTTACAGTACTGTATGGACAAATGAAAAAACAGATAACATCCATACTTCAGTTTTTGAAGAACAATATACTGTATAGTATAATAATAAAACTCGATTTAAACAAACCTTTAATAGAGAGGAGCTCTTGAACTCTGGCCTTAGCATTATCACATTTAAGACCTGACAAGTCTGCCAAGGGGTCACTAGGGTCCAATAAAAGGTGTCGCTCATGACCCAGGGATGAGTCACTTGCAGCCTGGATTAAAAAGAATGAGTTAATGGCAACTGAAGCAAATCAGCTAATACAGTATATCATAAAACACCCAACAAATAATGCTAAACATATATATTGTTGTCGATTCCTGGTTCTGATTGATGGGATTTATTAAGGTAGGTTTCTAAGTAAGGTAAAACTGCACATTTTTATTAGTTTCATGTGACCAACTTTTAATTTTGCATAACTGATAAAGTATAAAAAAATATAAAATGTCAACTTGAAAATAGAGCATCAAATGTAATGAAATGTCCCTTTGTGTGTGGTGCCTCAGCAGCTCCCACGCTTCAAGTTCACTGCCAAGAATGTATATTTTATGGGCAAAGAAAAATTTGAGAAAAAGGCCTGTGGCTCAAACTGCAATGAATTAGATCAAGAGGTTTACAATAATAAAAGTAAGCAAAGTTGATATTATATAGTTAATTGTATATCCATACCCTTGCATTTCTAAAGAAAAAAAAAAACAGCGTTGCATGTAATGAAATGCCATTTTCTGGGTGAGACACGGAGGCTCCCCGGAGCTTTCCGGGCTGATATGAATGTATTAGACCCTGGCATCAATGTGCATGGAGTGCTAGGCAAACTTACGAATGTCATGGGAACGAGGATAGACAGCAGGCTGGTTGGACCGAATATCCCTGCAGACGACCTGGGAGACCCAAACCCTGGAACAGGGAAAAAGGGAAACCGAGTCAACCCAAAGTGCGTCCCTGGCCACCGAGGCCATGGCGTGCAGGCAATGGCGGAGAGCCACAACCGGACACAACCCATGAAGCACCCCAGGCCTGACCAACCAAGCATCAACAACCCAAGGACCCCTGAGGAAAGCAGCAGTCTTCTTCTTTGCCAAAAAAAAAGAGACAGCTGCAAACTAACAAACCTACCACCAGGACCAAAAGAGCAGAAATCCCTGCACCGGAGGAGAGCATGAAGCTCCCCGACCCGATCTCCAGAGGCCACTGCCAACAAGAAAAGAGCCTTTGCCAAACAATCCTGAACTGAAGGGGCCACAACAAACTGAGAAGAGAGAAGGGAGAGCACCCGGTCCAACGACCAGGATGGCTCAGGCGGCGCATGAGCAGGCCAGAGGTGAAACAACGCACGAGACAACTTGCGGAACGGTGCAGAAGAAACATCAATGCCGAACGCAAGCTGCAGAGGCTCCGCCAGCACCACACGATATGAGGCGACAGTATTTGGCATAAGATGATGGTCATGGAACAAACACGAAAGAAAGGACAAGACAATCCTATCAGAGACAGAAGTAAACCTACGAAGGGATAAGAAATAAGGAAGGACCGCTAAGAAACTTCATACTGCCGCCAAGATGAAGCACGCAGGTAGGAAACCATCAATGAAGCCACCTGCTCACCATACTAGTGGTGACAGACCCATGTCAGACAGACAAGACGCGAAGACTTGAGAAGATTGAACCAGCCACGTAACGGACTGACCCGATCTGCTGAATGCAGCAGAGCAGCGGGAAGACCCCAAGGGTTCGGACACTGAGCAAGCAGTGCCTGAATTCAAGGCTGGGCCGGCCACCAAGGAGCCAAGAGGACTACTCTCCCTTGGGAAGTCTCCAAGTGAGCTAGGACCTAGAGTAACAGCTGAACTGGGGGGAAGAGGTACAAGTGACCCCACCTCGCCCAGTCCTGCTTGAAGGCATCGACCCCGATGGCCTCACAGTCGATGAAGGGCGCCACATATACCGAGAGACGCCTTAACCACGCCAACGTGAAGAGGTCCACTTCTGAAGGCCGGTACGTCTGGCAGAGCCAACTGAACAAGTCAGCGTCAACCGTCCATTCCAAGGACAGGAGAATGAACCGAGACAGGCTGTCCACCAGGATGTTGAACCCCCCCCCCTCCCCGAACGTGAACTGCCAGGAAAGCCAAACCCCGAGAACTCAGCAGACGAGGTACCGTAGCGACCAGCCCCAAAGACCCAAGGACTGCATCAAACCTCTGTGGTTCAGGCAGTGAACCTCCGGGGAGCAGTCTGAATGGAGCCGAATCGTTGATTCGCGAGCACCACGCACCCTCCGAAGCGACATCCAAACTGCTGCGAATTCCCGTATATCATGGTCAGTGGACTGGGTGAACTGGAGTAAGATGAAGGAACAAAACTCGCAAGACTCCGGGTCTAAAGTGTCACTGACCCAACAGGCAGCATGATGGAGGCACAAAAGGTGAGACAAGGGAACAAAGCAACCTTCAAACTCGCACGAAGCGAGAGGGGACCCAGGGGTCACATCCATCGGACCAAAGAGCCCCCGCAGGGTTTCCCAGGGCTCTTAGTTGTATTATCTCACTAAGGAAAGCCCAGGTAGGGTACTGTTAACCAGTGCCCAAAACCTACCAAGCAAACTGCTAAAGCTGAACCCCCTGGATGTGTACACTCACGGGGACCTAGCGGAGGATCACCAAGATAAAATAGGATGTGATCAAACCAAGGGGCAGACCCCCCACCAGGTAGGAAAACAAAAATGAAAAGAAAACTCCACAAGAGGACAGTGTACCCAAGCGGAGCAGAGCTGGATGCTATGAGAGGTGATAACTACCTGCACAGTACCCTGCGCCCCAACCAGTGACAAAAACTACCCCCCAACCCAGAGGCAAACAGGGAAGCAAGAAAAACTTTAGCCAACTCCAAGGGCTGGAGTGTTCATTGAGCAGCAAAAGACACAGTGGAGGTAGAGCCCAATTTTTTTTTTTTTTTTTTTTTTTTTTTTTTCAGGGAAATTCCTGCACGCTCCCTAAGCCTCTGGCTGGCCCCACTAAGTGTTGCTTGTTTCTGTTTTACTTAGGCGGAATGTTAGTATTTATGACTCGTATGGCCTCTTCAGTAAGATTTTGCCCTATGTGTTTAACAACTTCCTCTGCTCTGTTGAATCTAAGTTGAAATCTTGATGGTTTGTAACTGTGCACTGGTGACTTGTGGAAAATAACCAAGCCCCCAAGGGCAGCACTTACAGGGCACCTAGGGAAGGGAACCCTAGGTGCATGCAGCATGAGTACAGGAGAAATTGCTCCTGGCTCGCACACCACCGTAGAGACAGCACCACACCACAAGGCACAGAACTGGAAAATTCTGGAGCCAGAGGCACATGACCTTGCCAGTTTCACATCACCCACAGAACTGCAGGGTGGATAGCCGGCGCAGGGGTCTGGGGCTTCCCCCTTTCCCCTCCTGCGAGGGTGGGGAAAGGGGGGTTCCGCAGTGACGTGGTGATGTCATGCTCGTCTGCTCATTTTCATTTGGAGAGTTCTGTCCACTAGTTTGGCTTTCAGCAGTAATATTTTCACCAGAATAGGGGTTTGTTTTGGGGTGCTTACCTTTCTGAGTGCCTGACCCGGTCAATGGTAGACATAGAATGCTTCCAACCACATGGGGGGTTTCTATTGGCCATTGCTCCTCGAGCCTCTCTGAGGAGAACAGGTTCTGGCCTGTGGTACCCGGTAGGCCTAGAACTCCATGCACATTGACTGACGCCAGGGTCTAATACATTCATATCAGCCCGGATAGCTCCGGGGAGCCGGAGGGGCTCTTCCCAGAAAACATTTTAGTGCATGGGCTAGACATCATTTCAAGATTAAACATGGAATAACATCTCTGCCTTTAGTAGTTGGACTGTGGATTTGTCTATAACTATAATCATGATTTGATAACTTGAGCAGTTTTTTTTTTATAATCACTGTGTTCAACATGAATTCAAAGAATTTATTTTAGTTCATTTTAAAGAATATTCAATACAGTAATAATGTTTAAATGAAATATAATCACCAAAGAATAGTACAGTACTGTACTGTACTTAATTATTACAGTATGAAATAAAATAAAAACAGGAATACAAATGTTATTGCAACATTACCTTCGAGAGATAGTAGTGAGCACAAAGAGGAACAATGATCAGTATGAAAAGAATTGTAGGAACAATTCTTGAAGGACGGAGCAGCCAACTCCCAGGCACACTCCCTTGCCCCGGCCCACTGCCAGTGTTCAGCCGGCCATATGAATTACTTCTCATCGTTCCTTAATTCCTGCGCTTCTTTTAAAATTTATTTTTAAGCACAAATGTGTTCAACTTATGGAATCCATTATATCAAACACTAACAAATATTGTGTATTATTAATAAGTAGAGAGCCTTATCTCATTAAGATATTTATTTATTGATATTTTTGCCTTTAATCTGCAATAAAAATTGTATAAATACATATGCATTTTTATACAGTCTGTTACTCACTAAAAGTTCCTTTAAAATGAATTATAAATGCACTTTAAAGCAATGAGTATAGATAGTGGAACATTTTTTTAACAACCACCAAATTATCTTCAGTTGTCCAGTTATAGCTTGAGTCATATTCATCCAGGCAACAAATATCTGTGGAAAGAAATGCAGTTTATACAATTTGCATCTAGTAAAAGACATCTAAAAGAAATGTATGAATGGTTACAATTCATAACCTTGCTAACCTAAATGAAATCAATATAATATGGAGGACTATGGATTAAATTGCATTTCATAAAAAAGTTATTGTGTCTGGTAGGTGATTTAATTCCCACAATCTTCAATAGTTTCTTTATACTGTATATCAGTAATGTACCACAATATTTTTTGTAAAGACCTTCTGGCACCTCATCCTCCTGCAGTGCCCTCCAAAATACATTTAACATTATGTCCACCACACTTCAACACATCTACAGTTATTTTATTTATACCAGCCGTTTTTCTTTTCCCTTTAACCTATTCATAGCTTATCTCTAAACTGTACTGTTTCACTGGTCTTCTGCCAATTCCATCCATTCTACAACATGCTATTAGTGTTTTTTCTGTACCATTTGTAACTGTACTCTTAACATAGTCACCCAACCAATTCATAACATACACCTATCCATAACAATTAACATCTGTGAAATATCCTCACTATATCAATCACTCTTATCTCCTGTTTTCATTCCCAATTAAATCTCTATGCTTCAATTTTTCTCAGCAATAAAAAAAATTAAATTGTCAGATCATCACTTTTCCATCCTCATTCAATCAAAATAACCTAAAAGGAATATTTATTTCCAAAGATCTATACATAATCTGCAAACAGGAGAGTTTGCACAGAGAGTGGTCACACAGAGAGAACACAGGCATGGTCAAGAGATGCTGGGTAATGGCAGATCTTTGGAGGGGCCCCTGGTTTGCCTTTGGGATGAACCAGAAATCCAGCTCTTGCTCTGTTGAAGGCAATTATGATATTCATTTTTTTTTTTTATACTTAAATGCTACACTACCTCTCATACCAGTTCTATCTGTGTAGTACTATAACTTATATCTCTGAACATGTTATTTTGCTAATAGCTTTCAAGACTACAGTCTATACTCTGAGATTAAAAATTTATCCAAGTTTCTGTGAGTCATATCATTAAACCATGACCAATTATTGTAGGTGCTCTACAGCACTAGCTAAGGTTAGGACAAGTTAAGCAGCATTATTTAATGATGTAGTTATGGCCTTAAGTGCATTACCGAGCAGAATTAGCTTCCAGACCAATGATCCCAGATTCAATTCTTTCATAAGGCGAGATATTTAGGCATTTTTTTTTACATCTAATGCCTTTGTTCACCAGTAGTAAATAGGTACCTGGAATTTGGGGAAGTATTTATGGTTGCATCCAGGGTAAGGGGACCTTGATAAGCCTAGGCTTCCAGTTCATGACGATGGGAACCCATATACTAGTGACCAGAGTTATCGTTCTACACTGCCTCATAAAAGTCAATGCTTCTTTAAGGGGTGAATATAGAGTTCTTGGTCAATCACTTTATTAAATAATATTCTCTCATGCTGTGATCATAGCAGTCACCTCTATCATCACCTGATTAAGCTATCATCCATTTAAATTACCAATGCAATTATCAAGAACGCATCCTGCTTGGCGCCGAAATTTAAGTCTTCAAAAATAATTTATAAGGAAATCTTAAGGAAAAATTCTCCTATGCATATTATGTAGAAGTAAAAGGTAGGTGGGTACGGGGCTGCAAGGTATCAGGAGCGCGGCTGGACCAACAGTGGCGGTGAAGGTAAATTTGACTCACCTCATCAAGTTGTACCTCGACTCTGTTTACATTTTAACCACAGATGTCTGGCGCGGGTGTCCGAAGTCATTCTACACTTATCCAACCTCAGCCACACTCTTCAATTTTGTCATCAATGGAGGCTTTCGAAAGATACAGATTATAATTTAACATTTATACACTTCTCAGTCATTTATAAAGACAAATACAAGAGGTGATGATGGATGCGTATATGTGTGGTGAGGATGTTAGTTACAGCCAGTGGGCGAGGGTTCGGACGAGAGGAGGATGGTGCGGCTGCTGCTCAACAGATGGCAGCGTGAGTCGCAGGTCGTCTGCTGCTGAGACGTACACCCTATTTTTGACGTCCTACTCTACATTAATGTGAGCATTTACTCTGCAGCTTCTTGTATTTGGTCAGGTGAATGGAGGGTGGTACGGGTGAGTGTCGAGACTGTGGACTCGGGGTGTAAGGGTGTGAGAGCGTGCAGAAGGTGGGTGTTATGACACTACACCCCCAACAATTCCCCCTCTCCCTCCCTTATCCCCGCTGAGCGGCCACAGCCCAGCTCGGGCACCTCTCGCTGGCGTGTCAGGTGACATCACACCTCACTCCACCACACACACAACCTAGGCAGCCTCCTCACCCTCCTTCCCTCAACTTCTAAGGTATCTATAAACTAAATCCTAAGCAAAGTTTGCTCCTCACTTTGAGTATTCAGTCATTTTTGGGTATTGCATTCAGGTAGTGTCATCTTCCCATTATTATTATTATTATTATTATTTATAATTATTTGTTCATGTATTTATGTCTTGAGTGCTACTTTTCTCCAGTACTTTGAGATACTGTCACAGAAATAGATAAATGTGTTTGTAAATTAATTCTTCCCATGTATATTACTCATTATTGGCTTCACCCATTATTGGATTTGACTGAATTTGCAATTTATTTATTAAAAAAATAATGTTCAGTTGGAAAGTTGAAGCAATTAAGAGTATTGGTTTGGTGTAGTGGTCTAGAGAGGATACACGCAACACTGCTACTGTGGTTGGGTTACACTATAGTGGGTCTAGCCAATAATGGGATGAATGACCATGGTATCAAGTGTACTTGCACTTTAAACTTTGATTTCTTCTTGCCTATTTCTGGGGATAGAAAACCTGTTAGGCTCATCAGTGTTCCCCAAGGCTAGTGCAACTAATAAGTTGTATGACTCCTAGGTACTTGTGCCTTTGTTCACCTAGGCAAAAATAATTTATTTTAATGTGCTCAGATATCTTTGTTTTATTTGGAAAGTGAAGCTAGTTATGGAAAACAGCAGTGTTTTCAAATGTATAAACAGTGGATATTAAGTTGTGCATCAGAGGCTAATTTAGCTACATAGCTTGTTGCAGGTCTACAACTTCCTCTGTTGTTGCACTGTCATCTCGGTAGTATATTCTTGTTACATGCTTGTCACCATATTAAAATAATGTTTGTATCCCAGCATCTTTAGAACATTAAGCTATACACAAGAGAGGTTCAGCACTTCGAAAATTTCATACTAAGGCATGGAATAGGGAAATAAAAATAGGAATTTGATACCTCTAAAAGCTTTTATTATAATAACCTTTTAGATAATTGTTCAGAGATACTTTAAGGGATGTGGGTATATTTATTTAAGTGTTTTAAAACATCATGTCAAATATGGAAGTACAGTTTAATTTACTATATAGAATATTTAAATGTACTTATGTATATAAATAAGCAATGAGGTTTCTGAATGTACTGACAACTTCTTTATTTGATTGTACTCTCCATTTAACTGGTAAACAGTGGAGGGTTCATTCATGAACTTTACCCATCACTGGTACTTATTAATTTAATTACTCTTTAGGCCACACCCAAATCCATGGTTCGTGTTAAACATGCAGAGTAATTTACCATTTGCATGCAACATGCATCCATAATATGGCAATTTTGTATGTGTGTGTGTTCTTGCTATGGCATATGTTAGGTCCATTAATTTAATATTTTTTTATTATTTTGGGGTATTGTCTATTTAATACTGTACTTGCTTTTCATTCTGGAAATTTAAACTTTTGTTAATCTTTAGACATTTTAGCATTGAGTGATAATTACTGCACAATTACCTGTGTAATAATTATTAAAAATTAATAGACCTATATACAATTTTGAGATTTGCCCCCTATTTTCCTGTCTGTCAATTTAAGTTTTGTCAGGTTTTACAGTATCACTAACAAATGCGGGTCTGTTTAGATAATGAGACCTTTGTGTCCATATGTCTGTTATGTTAACTTTGCATATATTTTTTATTTCTTCATTCAGTTCATTTAATCAGAAAATTTTGAGTGGCAATCATTATCAGTAAAGAATTGTAAGCATTATTTGTTGGCTTGTTTTGTACATTTTATGGTACTGTTTCACTGGATAATATACCATAGGCTAAAGAAAAGTAATGCTTTTGTATTAAATAGTTTTGTATGAGGATGAGTTACAAGATACTTCTTAAAAACAAATCTCTTGGGTAATTTGACACTTTCCAAGATCAAGAATTTTATAACACAAAAACAAATTGACAAGTACATGTACAGTTGAGCATCTAAAATTGGAAATTGGTAGGGGGGCCAAGCATATTGTATACTGTATTTTGATATTTTAGTTTTTTAGAAACCTGACCCATGTTGCCTTCCTGTAGCTGAACATATGCCATAATTTTTTAATATTTTGTAACATATACAATATATATAATTTAAGTTTATAGTAAGCGTATATAAATAGTGTACAGTAGACAGGAAAATATAAATATATAAGTATTAAAAACATGAATGTACTCTATAAATTTTTTACTTACAAAGGCAAGACAGTTTGTACACGAGTCCATTTTGCTAGGTTTAGATGGAGTGCTCTGTTCAATAGTGAACATGTCTCTAGTTTTAGATACACGATAAGCTTCTTCATTATATGAAATATCAATTGTGTGTTACTTTACATAAATTTTTTTTTTTATTTTTTACCCAAATTCATTTGCCCTGGTACATATTACATTTTGTCTTTAGGTCTTACCATCATTTTATGCACTTGATCTTTTGTATGGTCTCCAGAATTACATCCTAATGGAAAACTGGGATCCTTCTGGATAGAACTGCAATGTATCTACTGTATCTATGTCTTTCTGTGTTTTATGAACTTTTATTAATTTAGAATTTCAGGTGAATGGTGCGATGGTAGGGGGTATTTATGAGGTGGTGCGGCTGGTGGGTGGACTTCGTGGCAACCACTTCACCACTGCCACCACCTCCACTACACCCAGAGCCATCACCACTGCTCTTGCTACAAGGTAACCCCAATATCTATACTAAATAATTTTGTAATTTCCACATTCTTTGTAATCTTACTCTTTAGTTTAGAAGAGAACTTATAACTTAAGAGTTTGTACCTGTGACATTTCATCACGGAGTTAGGTACTGTATAAGAATTTTGGACTGTTGTGTGTAAGCCCAATTTTATAAAAGGTGTGTAGATCACTTTTCTAACTATTGACCAGTTAACTTAGCTTAATAAAGTTGTGGGAAAATTACTGTACTTGGTAATAATTGCAAATCCCATTCATACTTTTTTAACATTTAGTTTTTAGTACATTATACTAATATGTATATGATAAATAATTTTTCTGAGCATTACTGTTACACTTCATTGCATTCCTAGGCAAAATTTTATTTAACCCTGACTAGAATATTGTGCAGTCAGCTCATGTTGATATTCATCACCAGTACAGCTAGAAACTTTCAAATTGTTTCTACTGGGTCATGTTGGCAATAGGAAAATGGAGAATACTCGCTCCTGCCCAGACTAATTCATTGTGTCGGGGGACAGGAATCCCGAGTGTACATGTTTTGGCTTTTATTGAGGTCTCCCCCCGCCCCATGCCGAATTACTGACCCTGCCCGGGATACAACCCTACAACAAGCTGACTAACTCCTGAGTGCCTATGCACTGCTAGGTGAACAGAGGCATTTGATGAAAGGAAATGTGCCCAATCATTTCTGTCCTGCCAGGGATTCGAACCCAGAATTCTCGATTGTGTTTCGAGAACAAACCTGACTGTACTGTATTACCGGGACCCTTTGTATGTAGTCAAAGGTTGAATGTACTGTACTGTACTGTACTGTACTGTACTTTAAACTCAAAACCTATCCAGTTGCTTTCTTGGCATCTTGTGGAAAGCCATGCAGTGTCCTAGCTAATTACTGAATAGCCCACTAGGTTACTACACATGATTGCTACAAGGTGGCAACACTGATGCAACAACAAAGAGTCCCAATCCATTGTCATCACATTCTTATCTGACTGGCCTCAGCAGCAGATTATATGGGCAGGTACAGGATAAACAAAGAAATTTAATATACTGCTTGGAAAAGTGCTTTTCATGCCTTTACTGTATTCTCAAAGCTTGATTCTTGAGCGATCCTACTCAGTTGCTACATAAGGCATGTGTTAGTAGAGACTGCCAAAGCCCAAATATGGATAATGTTCCACTGGGCTGCAGAGAGAGAACAGAAGGTATGAAAGAAGTGGTCAAAGTAACTGCAGACACACTTTCACCACCCCAACATTTAACCCCAGCGGAGAAGATGGTCATAAAGATGAAAGCCTTCCCAAAGCTTTGTTTTGCTATTTTGTTCACTTTTTTGTTCCATGTTTTAGAAATTAATCCCTAAACTGCTCAAAACATCATATGATGTGTGACATTGAACGCAGTTTTCAAAATTTTCTGAAACTCTTTCAAATGTTTTGTGCATAATCTACTAGACAAATGTTCCAACTTTGTCTAAATGATACCAGTGTAACTTGAAAAACAAGAAAATAAAAAATAATTATAAAATTGAATATTGAAAACTTCAGATTTTGAAATCAGCTGCAAAAATATAAAATATCACCAACTGTTCATTTGGAGTTGTTATGCTCTCAGAATAGCATATGATCTTCATTTTCATATATTTAGAATATAGGTTTTCAGTATAGTTTACTGTAAAAAAAATTTGTCAGTATAGCATTTGAAATATGCCCAAATTTAGACAACAAAAATTTATAACGCCAAACGTTTAGAGTTTATGAAAAATCAATTCTATAGGGATTGTAGAACAGACAGCTGTGCACACTGTATGTAAAAATGGTGAGAATCGGTCAGAAACTAGATTTTTGGATACCGAAGTTGAAATTCTAGTTATAGATATAATTGAAGTTGAAGTTATCGACAATGAATAAGACAGTTCTAATTCATGAATTTACTTGTATGTTGTAATAAACATTGTTTGGCATTCGTACTCAAGTATGTGAAAGTTGTAGGTCAATGTGTGTAGAAAAGAAGTCAAGAAAAAATAACCCCCCAAAAAAACAAAGTGTAGGGATAATTATAATAATTATAATGATTTAGGGAATATATTTAGGGTATACTTCATATAAGTAAAAAAGCCCTAATCTGGTCCCTAATCATCAAAACAATCTAAACAGAAAAGGAAAATACAGTAGTTTGAAATCTATGAAAAAATCGGCCAAAAAACATTCAAAGTCCCAAGTTCTGAGAGTTGTAACTGATTTATTTGTTGACCAATTAAATTCTGGCTTCACATAGTTAGGGACGAGTATGCCTTCTCCAGGATGTAAAGGTTAAAACAAATTCAAATAATAAACAAGGAAGGAAAAAAAAATTAAAAACCTAAAAAAAAAAAAATCCTCTAAAAAACCAGCATTGAATGTAAGGAAACGTCATTTTCTGGGTGAGTCCCGGAGACTCCCTGGAGCTATCCAGCCTGAATGGATATGTATAACTTTCTGGCATCAGTCAAAGTGCTTGGAGTTCTTTCCTACCGGGGACCACGAGCCAGAACCTGGCCCCCTCAGAGAGTCACGAGGAGCAATGGCCTATAGAACCCCCCCCCCCCTGTGGTTGGGAGCATTCTATGTCTGCCATTGACCGGGACAGGCACCCAGAAAGGTAGGCACCCCCAAACAAATCCCAATTCTGGTGAAAATGCTACCGAAAGCTGAATGAGTGGACAGAACGCCCCCCAAAAATTATCAAACTATCTTGACGTCATCACGTCACTGCGCCGCCATCTGTGCACCCCCCCTCCCCAGGAGGGGAAGGGGGAGCCCCAGACCCTCTGCACCGGCGATCCAATTGGCAGCTCTTATGCTGGTTGTCAAAATGTGCGAAAAACACTGCCGACCGGAGGGAGGGAGGGATGCCTGGGAGCCTCCGGGACTCGCCCAGAAAATGGCGTTTCATTGCATTCAACGCTGGTTTTCTGGGAGCCCCGTGGGCTCCCCAGAGCTACCTCACCACAGATAAGGAAAAGAGGGAAGGATCCGGGAGGTGGACGCCATGCGCCCTAACCTAAAAAACAAGACCACAGACAAAACTAAAAGACCTTGCAGACAACCAAAACAGGGAAGTCACAGGGTATCTGTGGACGCAACCAACCAAGAGCGTTGCAGCAACCTAAACCTAGCGTGCAGGTTTAGGTTGCCGCAGCCGCCTGCACCCGCTTATCATGACCAGTGGCCCGGGTGAATGAGAGCACGTACAGACAGCACCTGTCGCACAACTCCAGGTCAAAATCCAATGACTCGACAGGCAGCAAGATGGAGGCAGAATAGTCTAGTGTCACCCTGAGACAAGGGGACAGAGCAACTTTCAAACTCGCAAGACACGAGGGGGGGGTGGAGGACGCAAGGGTTACATTCATTGGACCACAGAGCCCTTAACCTTGGAAACACGCTAAGGAAAGTCCAGGCAGGGTACTGCGAACTGGCGCCCAAGTCTACCAAACAAACCTCTAAAAGCTGAACCCCCGGAATGTGTCCACTCACGGGGGTTCCACCAAACAGAAAACATATATACAAAAACCCCTAGAACAGCCAAGGGAGACTACAAAGGCAGAACCCCCCCCCCCCACCAGGCAAAAACAAAAACAAAAGAAAAACCATGCAAGAGGACAACGTACCCAGACAAAACAGAGCCGGCAGCTGTAATAGGTGAAAACCAGCTGTGCAGTACCTCGTGCCCCTTCCAGTGACAAAAATACCTCCTACCCAGAGACAAACAAGGGCAACAAAACCCCAGCTGACTCAAAGGGCGACCCAGTACCGAGCAGTAAAGGACACAGCAGAGGTAGAACCCAAGGTGACTTGTGGAAGGTGGGCCCAAGCCCCAAGGACAGTACTTACAGGGCACCTAGGGAAGAGAGCCCTAGGCGCATGCAGTCCGAGTACTGTAGAATTTTACTCCTGGCTCGCACTCCACCGGTAGAGACAGCCCACACCACAAGGCATTTGCTCGTTTTTGTTTTGGGGCGTTCTATCCACTCGTTCGGCTTTTGGTTGCAATTTTCACCAGAATAGGTTTTTTTGGGGGGACGCATACCTTTCTGGGTGCCTAACCCAGTCGATGGCAGACATAGAATGCTTCCAATTACACGAGGGTTTCTATAGGCCATTGCTCCCCTTGTCTCTCTAGAGGGGGCCCAGGTTCTGACTCGTGGTCCCTGGTAGGCCCATAAGAACTCCATACATATGACTGATGCCAAAGTCTGATATTAGCACATCAGCCTAGTAAGCTCCGGGGAGTTTCCGGGACTCACCCAGAAAATGGCATTTCATTACATTCAACGCTGGCTTTTTGGTGATTTTTTGCCTTTTGAACATAAAACTGATTATTATATATCATGCCATGGGTCCCAAGAAAGTCAATAGTAAGGTTCAACATATGAAAACACATGTGAGGATGACCATAGAGGCAGTACAGAATATCCCTTCCTCAAAAATTAAGAAAATGTGTGCAGCATGGGAACAACTGTAACCTTTTGCTGAAATGACTCTCTCAAATCAAGCTGTAGTAGGCTGTTGCCTTGTCCTCTTCAATGACACTGATGCATCACTACGGTTGTTGCCTTAACCTTTTCAATGACCTTGTGATGCATCACTACAGACAAATGTTAAAACGAAGGGAAAAACAAATGTCGCTAGACAATTTTTTAGCGAGACAAACTAGCAGTGAACCACAACCAGGTCCTAGTGGTATGCAGGCAAAACGTAGGAGAGAGTGTACCCCAGAGAAATCATCACTTCCTGATGTTATAATGGAAGGGAACTCCCATTCCAAACAGTAACACCTCTCCTCCTTCCCCCTTCCTCACCATCTTCCGTACGCCAACAGGAGTCATCAATAAAGGTAAGTAATAACTTGTACATACGTTTGTAGTGATGATTTGGGTGAATTAGGTATAAAATTTACTTTGAAGTTAATTTTTTTGGGAGTCAGGAACGGATTAATTCATTTCCCTTTATATCTTATGGGAAAAATCGTTTCGACTTACGATACGTCTCTGGGAACGGATTACCATCGTTAAATCGAGGCCCCACTGAATATCTCTCCTAAGTTCTCTTTCAAGTTAAAAAAAAACTTCAGTGCTTGTGTTTTAATGCAGCTTGGTAATACGTAAAATTATTTCACTGCAGTGGTGGTGACATAATCATCTTTAGCCATCGGGATGGGGAGTCAACCACAAGAAGAATACCCTGGACAACTGATGAGAACAGGAAGCCAGTAGCTTTAGCTTTCAGTCCATCAGCAGAATGGCTACTGGTTGCAAGTGAGTATCATACTATAGTTTAACAATAATGCAAACTTGTTACAATTTGTTTTAATAATTTCTAGCTCTGCTGTTATTTCTTGAAAGCAATAGGAAAATGTGAACATTATACTATGTTTGCATTTGGAAATATTTCATGGCATTACAAACTTACTTTTATTTGGGTAATTTTATTTGCTAGCTTCAGAAAAATTAAAAATATGTTGTGTTTCAGGTGAAGATGGTACCCTTTTTGTTGTGCCTATAGGAAGTCGGTTGGATCCTGGCATTTGTCAGGATCATCGTTTCAAGACAGATGATGTGTTGGTTCTACCTCCCAACGGAAGTCGAGCACGCCCAACCTCTTTGGTTTGGTAAATAATGGATGGATATTTTTATCATTAATAACTATTTGGTCAACTCTTAGATCTACTATATACAGTAATTACATTTTTTATTTGGTTAACAGTTCTTTTAATATTCTTATATGATTACTTTGAGTTTATATATATATATATATATATATATATATATATATATATATATATATATATATATATATATATATATATATATATATATATATATATATATATATATATATATATATATATATAATAATATATATATAATATATATATAATATAATATATATATATATATATATATATATATATATATATATATATATAATGTATATATATAATATACTGTACAGCATCTTTACACTGTATACTGTCTGTACAGTATACTCGTTATACTATTTAACCCTTCAATGACTGCTAAATAAAAGTCCTGCATTGTGGTGTGCATGGTAAAAAATAGTTCAGAAATAAAGGTACATTTAATCACATTTGGCAATTCAATTGCATGAGGTAATTGCATAGGCAATTGGAGCCATTTGAGGGTTAAAGACAGGAAACATTTCATATATATGGTTTTGGACCCATTTCAAGCAGATGGTTTAGAAATCAATTCTATATCTTTCTTCGTCAGGTGGCAGACACTTGTAGGGGATGCCTCCCTGGCCATTATTGGCACAGATCTTGGAGAACTGTCCTTCATTGAACTTAGTAGTGGGAAGGAAGTGGGTGGAACATACATTACCGTGCCTGTCAAGCAGCTTCATTTATGTCGGGATAACTCTTTGGATACCGTGTACCTCCTGGTGAGTTTTTATTACCATTTGAATTTTGAATGTTTGTTTTCTGAGCAAGGCCTCCTAGGTTGCTCCTTGAATTAGAACTGTAATTCACTCAGGATACCGAACTCGTGCTGTTTTGTTTATTTAATAGAACCCCAATTATCCAGATCCTTGTTTTACAAATTCTTGGCTTATCTGTACATGTAAATTTCCAGTCTCTATCCCCATTAACCATAGCATGTCCAGTTAACCCCTGTTATCTGTACTTAAGCCTGTTTAATAGATTTTATATACTATACTATATAGAGAATAATAAAGATTACTGTAGGTTAGGTCAGCTGTTAAAATATGGATGTTGTCCCAATGTCCTGAGTGATGGCTTAGGCAAACAGTTTTCATAGAAAATAAAATTTATTCATCCACTGAACAATTTGCACTAGGCAGAAATTGTCTAGTCCATGTAGGAATTCAATAGAGCACTGTACTTGCCTAGTTGTGCTTGTAGTGGTTGAGCTCTGGCTCTTTGGTCCCGCCTTTCAGAGGACTGTATGTACTTATCAAGTTGTGCTTGCGTGGGTTGAGCATTGGATTTTTGGTCCCACCTCTTGGCTGTCTCTGAGGCTCATTTGGATACTCGGTTACCACTTCTGACTCCTGTTAGCAGACTGAGAGCTTTTCCTTACCATAGCTCATGGTAAGCCTTGCCCACTAGTTTTTAATGGAATACGACCTGCCAATAGGTTAACCACCTGGTTCCCAATTACTATTGAGTGAACAGGGGCAAACGGTTAAGGATTGATACCTAGGCAATCTTCTACCTTGATTGTGATTTTATAAGAAGTCAATAGGCCACAATTAATTGCCTTTTGTGATAAGAGATAGAGGGTAAGAGGAGGATAGGCAGATAAGAGATCTGTATTTAACTACACATTAGGGAAAGGATAGCAGCAGCAGCATATGGGATGATAACAAATATAGGGAAATTATTTAAGAATCTAAACAAGGAGGCTTTCAAGTCCATATACACTGCCTATGTGAGTATGCAGCACCAGCATGGAAACCCACACCTTATGATGCGCAAAAATAAACTTGAGAATGTTCAGAAGTTTGCAACTAGATTAAAACCAGAATTGAGAGGGCTTGGTTATGAAGACTGGTTTAAGGAACTAACAATCAGAACTTTAGGAGAGGGAAACAGAGGGGATATAATCACTACATACAAGATCCTGAGAGGAATAGACAAAGTGGACAAAAGAAGCCTATTTAAATTATAAGGTGGTAAGACAAGAGGACATTGGTGGAATCTGGACATGCAATTGAGTTGTGAAGGTGTAGGAAGTCTGCATTCCCTACAAGGGTGCACAGTATTATGATAATGATGATGTTGGTTGTCCTTCCTTTCGGACAACCCAGCCCAAAACCCGGAGAGTGCTTATTTTGACCAGGAGATCACCCTGGGCGCTTCTGGCACTTGAAGAGGGGTTCCACACCACACGTTTAAGGGGTTGTGGCTCCAGTACTGACCTCGGTGTCACATGCACACACCCACTCGAGACGCCATGACTCCTCACTCTCTCCTTATTTGGTATGATCTCCTCAATCCCCTTTTCTGAAATATTACTCCATACTACCCTATCCACAGTCTCTCTGTCTCTCTCTGTCTCACACACACACACACACTCTCTGTCTCTCTCTCTCTCTCTCTCTCTCTCTCTCTCTCTCTCTCTCTCTCTCTCTCTCTCTCTCTCTCTCTCTCTCTCTCTCTCTCTCGCACACACTCTCACACTCTCACTCTCTCACTCTCTCTCACTCTCTCACTCTCTCACTCACTCTCTCTCACACTCTCACACCCTCTCACACCCTCTCACACCCTCTCACACTCTCTCACACTCTCTCACACCAAGTGGATAAATCTTACAAGATAGATACGTCACTATCAGCCCTACAACATGTATATATCTCTGCAGGTACTTCAGCCTACAGCTGTAACGCTGTAAACTTCATCATAAGTAAGTGATAACCAGTCACCCTATCAGTCCTAGAACATACATACATACATACATACATACATACATACATACATACATATATATATATATATATATATATATATAATATATAATATATAATATATAAAATATCTGTAGGTAATCTAACCAATAGCTGTAACTCTCTGTAAACTTCAGTATAGGTAATCCTTAGCATAGAAATGATAATCAATCACCCAACATTTACTGCGTCTTGCACGCTAACGACAATCAAACACACTACCTACTTCCTACAAGTAGTCAACAAGAACTTCCTTCCCACGTCTGCAAGTTCACTGCTCTGACATCATCAGGTTCTTCCAGATTTATCTACCAGGATCGTCTGTACCTCTTCCAGGCTGCTGCACCACGAAGTTCTCCTTGGACTCCAGTGGTATTCCACTACCGTTTACACAGAAACAAGCTAGACTTCACTGCTCCTTTTCTCACAGTATGAGGTCCAATTCCTCACTATGGGGCTTGCTCTTCCACAGAGTACAACACCTATCCCTACTGGCTTGAAGTTCCAATCATCAACTTCTCTGGCCTCGGAGTACTCCCATCAACTTCTTCCTCAGGACGACAACCCATTGATATGCCAATAAAAATGTTCCTCTATAAACACTTAAACAAAATAAACCACACAATTAATGTTTCTATCCAACATATCTCTGTCTCCCGAACGTTGTGGGTGTGGACTCTCCCACGTTTGGGCTGGTCCATCCTCCGCCCGGCCGGGCGGCCCTCGAGGCAGCTGGCGGCCGGCCCTCAGTTCCCCTCAGGAGCTCGGCGCAGAAAGACGCACCGCTCGTCCCTCAGCTGGCTCTCTCGCCTCTACTCTCTACTCTCTTATTTAGGCATTCTGCCTCAACGAAATGTGTCTAATATATCAACAGACACTTGCTATGATCGCTGGGCACACAATCAACTATAGGCAATCACTATTAACTAGTTAAATTTGGGCTTACCACATTGTCTCTTGCGAGGGCACTCCTCGATGACTCTTGACCAGGGCTCTCCCAAGGCTGCCCAAGAAAATGTTTCAGGACGGCTTCACAACTCTTCCTGCCATCTAGGACTTTAGCCCACAGTGTTCCCAGCTTGATTCCACAGTCTGCACATTTCCTTCTTCTTGAAGGTATATCAACTAGGGGGTTCCTCTCTATCAGGAGCTCACACGGAGCGCGGCTTCCCCTCACGATGTCTGGTGCTCAAGTGGGGTCAAAGCCCTCCAGAAGCAAGCCTCACACTCCCAGCAAATTCTCCACATCTCATGACCAGTCATTTATCTACATCCTGATTAACTGCCCATATTCTTTAACTGTCTGTCAAATTTAACCAATTCTTTTACATATGTATCTTCATGTCTATATTTCTTTGACCTCTTAGTGAGGTCAGGTCTTGCAGAATAACTCTCAAGATAGGCTCGTTTTTCAGCTACCTGGGATTAACAGCAGTCGGCAAGTTAAATACATTAACACTTTCGTGTCCCCGGCGTGCGCGCCCCAGCCCACCCCAAAGTGGTCTGAACATTTTCCGTGAGCGCATGCCCACATTAAAATGTGCAGACTCTTAAGTTTTCTCACCTTAGTTTTCGTGGTACGTCGTTCATTTTGGTATCAAATTGTTCGCAATAGAGTTCTGTAAAGGGATATATGCATACAAGATCAAGAAGCCCAGCATGCCACCCACAGCAAACCCGAAAATCGGACAAGCATTACCCGTGAGCGAGCACCTATCCCCACACCCACACCACCTGCACTAAAATGTGTGTACTCTTTTTAGTTCTCACATAAATTTTCATTTTCATCGTTCATTTTGGTATCAAATTGTTCACAATAGTTATCTAAAGGGATATATGCATACAAGGTCAAACAGTCCGGCGTGCCACCCGCAGCAAACCCGAAAATCAGCCGAGTGTTACCTGTGAGTGAGCACACATCCGCACATGTGGTGGTTCCCAGAGAAGGGGAGGGGCTGACTTGGGGGGCCTTGGGCTCCGTTGAATCCCATCTGGGTTTTTCTACCCTCTGAGTAGTTCTTACTGTTACATGGAATGAGGTTTTCTCCCCCCCCCCCTCTCACCTCCTTTGCGTACAAATTAGATTCGGTGTCTGCCCCTCCCCGGGTTCGGTTCCATGTGCATGAAGCTTCCGACCACCTCTGGGATCCTCACACACGGGTGCACAGCAAACATGCCGCCTTTTTCACGTCCCCACAGCCAAAGTAAGTGGCATTTATTAGTTTTTTTTACATTTGTATGTTCAGGGAAGGGAATTTATCATTTTACAAAGATAAAAAAAATTTGGGAACACTTGATGTTCGGCGCACAGGGGTAATGTCCTATAAAAGCCGCTGCAGTGCTGTGGTAAAAAAGAAAATTAGATCTTGAACTGATTCTTAACATAGTTTTCTTTATTTCTAATAGATAACAGGACCAGAGGATCGACAGTGGCGATTGGTGCTAGAACAGCGAAGCAATCAGTATCTCTTTCCTTTGGAACACATCACTCCAGAATGGCCTGAAGATGAAAGCCCTGGTGGCTCCCTACATCGGTCTGGGCCTCCCCCAAGGTCTCGTCTTCTTGGACTTAAGCAACTGTCTGTTGAAAAATTGCAGATGCTAAGACAGAGATTAGTTGAGGCAAAGACTGGCTCCAGACGCAAGCCTCTCACTGAAAACAAAGGTCAGTTTAGGTACCGCAATTGATCTAATTTCCTATGTATAGTCTTAAGTTGTCATATCCTTTCACTGAATTTGCTTCTAGCTCTTTAATTCAGTTTTGTTTTAAAATGGATTGGTTTTAATGTTTATAATTGCAATATTAGCTCTCAGTCTGTGATTTGAGCTTAATTTTATGCTTGTGTAGAGCAATTTTTGTTAATTTTTTACACAGTAACTCTTATGTCCTGTCCCTGAACTAGGCAAAATCTGTGCTTAAATGTTTCAATGGTAATTATTTTTATTTTTTTATTTTTAATGAAATGCCATGACTTTTGCATCCCTCCAAAGTTATACTAAATCTTTTTTTCTTTTTTAATTCCCCTTCTAGAAAATGATAATCATGATTACTGGTACAATCTGTTTTGTGATCCCAATTTCCTTAGTTTTTATTTCTTTTTTTTTTTTTTTTGGTCATTGGTATTCTGATTAGATACTAATATGAATCCAATTGTAAACAAATCAGTTTGAGAGCTGTTGTGCAAAAGTCAATGAAATGCAAGATTGAGGAAAATATACTGAGATAGTCAGGGCAGGTTAAATGAAATTAAGAGTAGACTGGATGAAAAGTGCATACTTACGTGAATGTGAAGGGGGGAGAAGACAATGAACATGGGGGGAGGGGGAAGGTGGCTTACATGGTTGGTGTGTTTGTGAGGAAATGTTGTGTTAGTTGATCAAAATACAGTACAGGGGTAACTCGGTTTAAGAGTTTAATTCATTCCTGGAGACAGCTCATAACCCGAAAACTCGTAACCCGAAGCTAATTTTCCTATAAGAAATAATGGGAATGAATTAATCCGTTCCTAACTACCCAAAAACCTCACTTCAAACTAAATTTTATACCTAATTCATCAAAATCTACACTACAAAACTATGTTCAAGTTATTACTTATCCTTGCTGATGACTGATCTTGGCGTATGGAAGATGGTGAGGAGGAGGGGGGAGGAGGAGAGGTGTTACTGTTTGGAAGGGGAGTCCCCTTCCATTATAACATCAGGCAGTGAGGACCTCTCAGGGGTGCATTCTCTGGCACATTTTGCCTGCATACCACTAGGTCCTGGTTGTGGCTCACTGCTCGATGTTCTCACAACAAATCTGTCCATGGGATATTGTTTCCCCTTCTTCGCAAGATGTGTCTGTAATGAGGCATCACATTTTCATTGAAAAGATTAATGCAACAGCCTATTACAGCTTTCTCTGGGCGAGTGTTTTCAATAAAAGTTTGCATCTCTTCCCACATCTGACACCACTTCTTAATGGTTGCGGAAGGGACATTCGCTGCTGCCTCATCCGTCTCCACTGGAGAAACATCCTCAGCTGGGTCTTGTTGCTGTTCCTTTTGAAGGGCTTGGAGTTCTTCGGTGGTCAGTTCTTCGTTGTCTTCTTCCACCAACTTCTCCACATCATAGAAAGAAACACAGCGAGAAACAATAGGCAGAGTTTCTTTCACCCTATGCCCCTGTTACCTAGCAGTAAAATAGGTACCTGGGTGTTAGTCAGCTGTCACGGGTTGCTTCCTGGGGGTGGAGGCCTGGTCAAGGACCGGGCCGCGGGGACACTAAAGCCCCGAAATAATCTCAAGATAACCATCATCACCATCCAATTCCAACCCCATTTGCCGGTCCAGAGTAACAATTTCCTCAAAATGGGCGCATCATTTACAGGCTCAAACCCCTCAAAGTCTAATTCTGGCATACATTCAGGCCACAATTTTCTCCAGCCTGAGATCAGGGTTCTTTGAGTCACTTCTTGCTAGGCTTTGTCAACGAGTTTTAAAGAACTGCAAATGTTAAAATGGTGTTTCCAGAACTCTTTGAGGGTGAGGTTTGTGGCTTCAGTCACTTCAAAACATTTCCGGAAAAGTGCCCTTTCATAAAGTTTCTTAAATTTCGCTATGATTTTCTGGTCTATAGGCTGAATTAGAGGAGTGGTGTTAGGAGGAAGGAACTTTACTGTGAGAAATTTACAGTATTTGTGCAACAATTCAACTTCCACGCCTGGTGGATGAGCAGGGGCATTGTTGAGGAGAAGCAGGGCCTTGAGTGGCAAATGTTTCTCCTGCAGATATATTTCTATGGCAGGGCACACCACTTCATTCACCCACTCCGAAAAAAAAATCTTAGTCACCCATGCCTTATTATTAGCTCTCCACATCACACACATTTAGTTTTTCTGCACTTTATACTGTTTGAAAACCCTTGGATTTTCAGAATGATACACTAGTAAGGGTTTAATTTTCAAATCGCCACTCGCATTTGAACACAGCACAAGCGTAAACCTATCTTTCATAGGCTTCTGTCCGGGCAATGCTTTTTCCTCCTTGGTAAAGTATGTCCTCTTGTGCAATCTTTTCCAGAACAGTCCTGTTTCATCACATTTAAACACCTGTTGTGGTAGGTATCCCTCAGCCTCTTCAAACTCTTTTAAATTCTTCAATAAATTTTTCAGCTGCTGGTTTGTCTGAGCTGGCAGTCTCCCCATGCCTCACAACACTATGAATACTGCTTCATTTTCTAAAGTTCCCAAACCATCCCTTGCTTGCCTTAAAGTCTTTCGTATCTGCATCACTCGTTCCAGGGGTTTTCTTTACAAGGTCTTTGTAAAATACCCTGGCTTTCTCACAAATGATGGCCTCTGAAACACTATCACCCGCTAACTCCTTGTTGTGTATCCAAATTAATAACAACTTTTCCACTTCCTCAAGTATTTGTGATCTTTGTTTCGTGATTGTTGATACTCCTTTTGCCACTTCAGCACTCATAATATCCTTTTTTTTTTTTTTTTGGCAAGTATAGTGCATATCATTGACATGGATTTGTTGTACTGCCTACAAAGTTCAACAACGGGTGCACCATTTTAATGCTTCCGAATGATCTCTTGCTTTTCCTCTATTGTCATCCTCACATGCGATTTCTTGCCTTGAACCTTACCACTGGCTTTCTTGGGACCCATTGCGATGTATATTATAACAAATTTTATGCTCAAATAGCAAAAACTCCGAAAATAAACAGTAAATCCTCGTGAAGAATTCAGGCGGGATAGTCACTGGGCACGAGGCACTGGCAAACTGAAGGGCGATTGCCGTGCCACCATGCGCTAGGTCGTTCCGTATGCGTATCAACAAACTTGTATCCTGAGGCAACCCTCGTATCCCGATACAAATTTTCCGAGCAAATCCTGCTCGTAACCCGAAAAACTCATAACCAGGGGCACTCGCAAGCCGAGGTACCACTGTATATAGTAAAGGGTAAGGCTGGGTGAAAACAGTTTGTTGGAAAGAAGTAAATGTATATGTATATATTGTACAGGAAATGATAATTCATGATCAGAACTTTATTAGCTTACTCTTGGTCTTTATGAAGCAGCAGTGCTACTGTGAATGACTGCTAGTGTGTTGAAGCGCTTCTTTAGCCATAATACCATGTATTGTAAATGATGAAGTAATTGGATAAGTTATATATTTCGTGTTATTAAATTTTTCTATAACCTTTTACTAAAGACATTGCTTACTAATTATGATCATATGGGGTGGATCCCCATCCAAGTTACGAAGACATCTGAATTATCCGGGTTACTTAAGGTGCTCCTAAAAAATTTTTTTAACATTTAAGAATATAATATATTTTATGAGAATTTTAAGCAGTGTAAGAAACTTTCAAATACTGTAGACACTCGCTAATCTGGAATCAGACCATCCGGAAAATGCAGTAATCCGGCCAAAATCGTGGCTGGATAAAGTTACTGTATTAAACCATCCGGCCAAAATGTCCATGGGAACCGGACCAGTGAGTGTTTGGCTGGATCAGTAGCCTAACACTCCTTGTACACCACCACCACCAGGGAGGGAGTCACCCCTCACTGCTGCTCGCTTCCTCTGTCCTGCCCACATTCACTGCCTCCTTCCCTCCCTCCCTTCCCAAGAGATCCTTCTGTAGGTGGCAGTAGATTGCCAGCCTGAAGAATTTCCATCTAATACAATATAGCATTCATGAAACAAGTTTTTTTTTTTTAAATTTTCATTATCCTAATAATATTGCTAAACAAAATCTGTAACCAAAAATATATATATGATCATGTACATCCAGAATGTACATGATCTTTCTCCCCCAACTCCCCTCCACGTGTGTCAATACGTGGAGGGGAGTTGGGGAGGCTAGCGTGAGGTAGGGGAAAGAGGTGACCAGGAAGGAGATCACAGACATGTGATCAGTCTCTTTCCAGTCTCACCCACCCACCTGCCTGCACACCCACCTACCTACCCACCCACTTGTTCACCTTCCTACCTGCTCGCCCACCACCTGCCTGATAGCCCACCTACCCACCTGAATGCTTGCCCACCCACCTGCCTGCTCACCCACCTTCCTGCTTGATAGCCCACCCACCTGTTCACCCATCTGCCTGCTTGTCCATCCACCCACCTGTTCACCCATCTGCCTTCTTGCCCACCCACCCACCTGCCTGCACAGAGCTGCCAACCCACCCACCTGTTCACATATCTGCCTACACAGACCTGCCAACCCACCCATCTGTTCACCCACCTGCCTGCTCTCCTACCCACCCACCTGCTGGTAAGTGGGTGGACCTGCCTGCTCACCCACCCACTTGCCTGCTCGAACCTGTTCACCCACCAAGCCCATCTGCCTGCCATCCACCCATCTAAAACCTACCTGCCTGAATCCACCTACCCACCTGCCTGCCCACCCACCCACCCACCCACCTACCTGCCTGCCCTCCCACCCACCCACCCACCTGCCTGCCCACCTGCCTGCCCACCCACCTGCCTGCCCACCCACCTGCCTGCCCACCCACCCACCCACCTGCCTGCCCACCCACCCACCTGCCTGCCCACCCACCCACCCACCCACCTGCCTGCCTGCCCACCCACCCACCCACCCACCTGCCTGCCTGCCCACCCACCCACCCACCCACCTGCCTGCCTGCCTGCCCACCCACCCACCCAC